AGAGCCAAATCCATGCAGGCGTACAATGCGGTCACGGCACTTCGCGTTTCTGCTAGCAGCGGCTCGAGAGCGCGGTGACGTAAACGCTTGTGCGGCCACTTTCGAACTCCGCTCGCTGAACAGTGGACGCTCGAAAGATTTGCCTGCTTGCGTCGGTACTAAACGTGCCCCTTAGTTAAACCGTACGGTGAACTGCGTGCCTTTACGTGAATGTCACGGTGCGCATTGCGAGCAGCAAAAGACACAGACGTGCGTCAACAGCTGGCGTCGCGCCATTTTTTTACGCAGTAACCCAGTATATACATATACACAGATGCACGATCATCCTCCGGTGTTGCCTGTCACACGTGTCTGCAAAAGCTGCATGCGGCTAATCAACGTGTTCCTTCCTGTCACAGCTGAGGCCACACAGCGTGTCAGTCCCGAATTAAATGAGATCGTTTAGGCTGTGCGAAAGAAAATGAGAAGAGAAACAGCCGTAAGCGAGCCCGCTAGCCGGATCCACGTACACGCGTGCCAGCTTTTCCCGACGTTTACTTCATAGCGTTGCAGAGCTTTGTCGCGACGCGGAAATGATAATCAGCATTGAACGTAGCGAAATTAACCGGAATGAAGTCAAAGGAGGTCAATACACTAGTCTAGAACACTGCAACGGCGAGCTGCACTGACGACGTTTGCAGATTCCGCACGCTTGAAAGAGCCCCGGTAAATCATAGCATGCAGTGGTCGTAAAAACCTATGCTGAAGCGAGGGTTTACCCGCAGCAATGGTCTAGAGGCACTCGGCTGCTGACTGGCAGGTCGCGGGATCGAATCCCGGCTGCGCTGGTCGCATTTTTCGATGTAGGCGAAAATGATCGAGGCCCGTGCGCTTAAATTTGGGTGCACGTTATGCAACCCCGGGTGTTCGAAATTTCCGGGGACCTCCACAACGGCGTCTTTCGTAATCGCCTGGTCGTTTTGGGGCGTTAGGCACACCGACACTTTAACGAAGCGAGTGCTATTTCAAACATTTTCGTTATTGGTATATGGCGCCGCATCGAGATGGAACACACAGGAGAGTGCAGTTCTAGCGTTCAGGCGAAGTTCTCATGAACAAAAGGTACCCTTCCCCCCCCTGCCCCTTAAAAAAATCGCCCTTGCAGAGAGCATGCTTATAATCACAGTCACTACATTACTGAAAAAAAAAATAATAACGCGATTGAAAATGTATTTTTTGTCCCACAATAATTGTCGTCAGATATCTCGTATGCCTTTCCTTGCATTATTATACGATAGTTATAGCGCGAGAACAGAACGACGACAAAGAGACAAGAAGGGACAAAGAGACAAGAAGGACACGAGCGCTCGTGTCCTTCTTGTTTCTGTACGTCGTTCTGTTCTCGCGCTATAACTGTCGTCATGTCATGCCAACTAGCCCAAACTGCCGCACTTATAAGTTACTTGCATTATTGTCATGCGCCCGGCTCTTCCTGATCACGAATAGCATGCACGTGTTATAAACGTGACATAACATTCGTGACAGGAATGTGCAGAGTTTTGAAAAAAAGGAAACGCTACAACGAGACATACGACAATTATTGTTGGGGCCCCGCCGCGGCGGTCTAGTGGCTAAGGTACTCGGCTGCCGACCCGCAGGTCGCGGGTTCGATTCCCGGCTGCGGCGGCTGCATTTCCGATGGAGGCGGAAATGTTGTAGGCCCGTGTGCTCGGATTTGGGTGCACGTTGAGGAACACCGGGTGGTCGTAATTTCCGGAGCCCTCCTCTATATACGGCGTCTCTCGTAATCATATGGTGGTTTTGGGACGTTAAACGCCACAAATCAATCAATTATTGTTGGGGAACAAACAAATACGCCCATTTTACTCTCTTTTTAACCACGAAAGCTGTTGTGAGACCACAACAGTAGCCGAGCATATCCACGGAGTGAATGGTGTTGAGTGCAGCGAAGCATCTATCTATCTGTCTGTCTGTCTGTCCGTCCGTTTGTCCGTCCGTCCGTCCATCCGTTTGTCTGTCTGCTAGGTACGCTGGAGGGATGTACTACCCTAGACCACAAGGAGCTTCGTCCCAAAAATTGGGAATCCGTAGCCATCGCCTTCAAGAGTTGAACGCGATAGCGACATGCGGTCCGAAGTGCGTACTTCAACCACTTATTACACACTTTTTTTTTATGTGTGATGTCACCCCAGAAGTTTTAAATTGTGAATTACCACAATCGATGAAGTTCAAATAGGCTTGTGCCATTGGAGCTTTCGCATATGCCTGCATTCTGCGTAATCGGTAGCACGCTTTAAACCACGACCAATCATGCGCGCGAAAATGTTTTCGGACTTGCCATGCACTCACTACGCGGTGCCTAAGAATACGCGCAGTAACGTGTGTGCATACCCTCGTAATATGGATGACCGGCTTCAAGCCACGAGGTCGTTACGATAATCACATGTTCTGACGCCCAGCGGCAATGTACGCTTGTAGCAATCAATATTACCGCGGCATTACATGTTGTATTGTGAAGCCTGTATACAAGAGGCGTGTGTTTGTAAAGGGCGAACCTTATGTTCACTGCATTTCCAAGCAGAGAAAGTTATTTTCACTGCATTCACCAGCAGGTGGGTAGCTGTGTGGTATAGAACATCCGCTTGCCACGCAAACAGCCCCGGTTCGCCACTCGGACCAGAATTTTTATTTTTTTTATCGCGTTAGCTACTCGCTTAGCTTATCGGTGGTTTGGTAAACGAAGTGCTAAGCACTTGGAGGGCGAGGGTGACGTGCAACACCATACCCAATGAAATATTTGAGTTTTCATATTCCCGCAGAGGGCGATTCGCGCGACTTGCTCTTTCACAATTCTCTCTCCCTCTCTCTCTAAAAAAAAAAAAAAAACCATCATTTCCTTGATGCGCACGCGTGCATCCCGTACTTATTTGGCGCAAAAGCCGCAAAAACACCAGTTTTCGCCATCCTGTGATTTCACTCTCAATGCGACCCCAGCGCCAGACTTGCCCCATGATCCAAACTTTAAAAGCCTGAAAAGAAAACGAGCCGGCATAAACAGCCTCCTGTGAAATGGCTGCAAGATAGGATATATAACGGTCCGTTGGCGGTCAACAAGTGGCTAAGCCAAAATTTAACACTAAAATATCCCGGTCTCGCACTGGCGAGCTTATGCCCCCCCCCCCCCCCCCATGATGCAACCCGGAGGCGGGCCGGGCTCCCTATAACACCCCCCCCTCCATCCTTCTCTCAGCCTGTGGTATGAACATATTAGCATGCACACGAAGACTAACGGCTCCCTCGGCTGACATAAAGTTGGGGACTAAGCCACTGCGAAGAGGTTTCAAACTTCAAAGCGTTAAGACAGGTCAAGCATCTCAATTAAATAGAGAGATGCCACTCAATATTCATTTCTCTCGTTGGCTCCGTTTGTTTTTGAATTTCGCGCGAAACACACAATTAGTCACGTGATAAAAAGTGTCACTGTTTTGAGTGGTTTAAGCAACAACTTATTTAAAATATTGCTTTCGAATTTGATAAGCTTGCTTGTGACACAGTTAGTTACCCTTATTTATTCATGAACTGTTTACGCTGTGCCTCTCACCTGTATGACGTCACGGTGATGGAGTGAAGTATAATGCGGGAACTGTGGCGGGAACTCCAAGCCAGCGCTTCGTCACGATTCTCTGCGCCTTGGTTAGCACTGTCTACCATATTTCTCCATCACTTCTTGGCCTTTCAGATCTCCACTTGTGGCGACACACGTTTTTAGTGTTACTTTCAAAGGGTAATTTTCCTCAACGGCCTGTATGGATAGAGTGACCTAGTATAGGTAGGCAAAGTGTCTGCTGCCCCCCCCCCCCACGCACCACGGTACCACCGTTTCAATTAATATTGACAACAAAAAATAATGCTTTCAAAATGGCAATTTACCATGATGTGTCCTGAGGCAGTAATCATTTAACTTATGCAAATGTTGTGCCTGTTCTACCGAACAAGAATCGGAGGATATGGCGGGAAAACCGATACTCTGCGCACATCGAAACGACGCGGAAACATTGTTGATTGACATGATTTATATGTAAATTTTAACGTCCCGACCACCATATGATTGTGACAGACGCCTTAGTGGAGGACTGCGGAAATTTCGACCACCTGGGGTTCTTTAACGTGCACCCAAATCTGAACACACGGGCCTACAGCAGGATACATTATTGACTCTAAAGTTTAAACAAATATCGAAGTTGTTACAGAACGGAGTTAGTTCGCCAACAACGTGGCAATAGCTTTGACAGTTTACCAGAGAACTGTTTGTGATGACGACTTGCTGCATTAACATATTGTTTTATTAAAAATAAAAGTTTTCATACGCTTACGCGAACCTATTGTATTAGGTAATATTGTCACATGGTCACAAGCGAGTACGGTTTATGGGAGACCACCGTTATCAAAAAGAGCCAGCGTCCGCTAAGACATCATAAAATCGTCGAACGTGATTCGCTGGTGCATCTACACAATTATGTCATCTTAGGATCAGCAAGAAGTTTTCCACTGTATAGAATAAAAGAATATCAACAAAGTGGAGTAATACAAAGCGATCCATGCTATAGTTCATGAATTTATAAAGTTATCATTACATTCAACTGGATTAGCATGCTTGCCGTGGTCAACGAGCTTTTTCTCTTAGGTGGAGGGGTACATTGATTGAAAATTTCACTGAAACGCTACATTGCTTACACGAAGTTTGGTGAATCCATTTTTACAAATTACATATTGGGACATTTGAGAATTATGTCCACAAAAGCATTGTCATAAACAAAATAAATAGTGGATGAATTCAGCTGATGCTGGAACAGTGCGATCGGAGTCGGGTGATGCTCCATCAGCCGTCATCACAGATTAGAAATGCTAAGTACAAATTGTAATTGTGTTTATGAAATTGATATGACTATTTAAATATAATGCTTCTATTGGATGAAAATTTCTCGAGTTTTTCAGTTTTGATTGACGGGACATGAAGGACCACTATTAGCAGAACCTTAGTCTCACAACTTATATTTGTTAGGATATTCGGGTAGAAGTAACACACAACTTGAAATAAGCTATTCACAACCTTAATAAAATGTCGCTTTATGTTGCTTTGCCCTTTTTTTTTAATATAACACATCTTTTCAATGCCAGGAACATTTGCAGGAGGATGCCCCTGTTGTCATGGTGTTTTGTTGTGTGCTTATAATTAGAGAAATGCAAATAAAATGCCATTCTACTACGTAGAGGTTTCATCTTCAGGCACTACGGTGAGGTTCCCATCAGACACTTCAAGCTCTGCTTCAGCAGGTTCCTGCTTCAGTTCGGATAGCTGCTGAAGCTTTGCGTTCGTCAAAGTTGATATTGTACGTTTAACCTCTTGCTTTGCAGCATCTATTTGAAGTAGTTTCTGGTCAATCTTGCGTTGCGAAGCTTTTGACGGTGCTGGTGCGCAGCATTCACTGTGGTCGCCGCTTTCCTGGTCCCTTGAAAAGTTGCCTGTGTAACAACAAAACGCCAATGTTATTAATGTTCCGCTTCGGGCTACAAATACAGCATATATATAGGGCATATAGATGTGTGTTTGTTAGATAACACAATTCTGAAACAGTACAGGGCTAAATGGAATTAATGTTGAATTGAAATCGCAGAGTTGGAGGAGCCGATGGACTCTGTGAGCGAGCGCTCAACTCTGGCGCAATGCAAGGCCTATCAATCCACGATTGGAACACAATCTGCGCTGCAGGAGCAAACATGGAAGCGAGGAGGAAGCGGAAGTCCTTGAGTTACCCGGAATAACTTGTGCCCACTTATTCCATTTGTCTAATTCTGCTGTCGAATCCTGTTGAACTACTGCTCGGATACCATGGACGGCTCATGCAAGAATAATGATAAATTTTCATCATTATCCATATCTAATCATTAGGATAAAGTCTCATCTGACACAGTACTCTTGGTATGTTCAATATACTTCATAAAGTTATGTCTGTTACACTGTAAGTGCACCGAGACAAGAACATTTTTAATTATGTAACTGGAAAGGAAAATAATGGCAGTTGCGTCCAAGAGCCAATCTATGCATGTCAAGCGGATGGCCAATCTTACCAAATGTGTGCTCCAAGCTACAGTAGTAGTAGCCTTTTGCTTCTTTAGGCTTGGACATACTCAGAAGCTGAAGGCTGTTCACTTTCTGCGTCCCAAACGTCTCATCCTTGAACGCTGCGTACCATTCCTCTTGGATTTTCTTTATCCCCTAGAAACCACAAACGAGCATAGACAAAAGAAATAAGCCGCCTGGTTGCGAGAATGCCCTGAGGGCAGCTTTGGAAAAATATAAAATTGCACTACATACGCTTTTTCTCCTGCTTTGCTTGCTCAGTTTCGCCAGTGTGAGATGTGGCGCAAATGCCTTGTTTCCCGACAAATCTAAGTTTACTTTTTCGAACTCTTCACGGCAAACTTGAGCGATGGCCTTGAGCCGGGACACCGAGTCTTCGCCGATTGCTTTCACATACAGGACCTTCAATAGCGATGTTTCAAACTTACGACAACATTCAAGAACATCAGAGGATGCATTTAATGACCACAAGGCTTCTATGCCATTCTTTGTATTATGCTAACTGTTAATAAAATATTGCTATGGTGTGTCAGTACATAACCATCAGTAACAATTAGTTACCGAGGTTGGTTATTTGAAGTCAGCACTGTGTTCTTCCTAGTCGTCCTGTCTAGTACCTCATCATCATCATCATCAGCCTGACTACGTCCACTGCAGGACAAAGGCTTCTCCCATGTTCCGCCAGTTAACCCGGTCCTGTGCTTGCTGCTGCCAATTTATACCCGCAAACTTCTTAATCTCATCTGCCCACCTAACCTTCTGTCTCCCCCTAACCCGCTTTCCTTCTCTGGGAATCCAGTTAGTTACCCTTAATGACCAGCGGTTATCCTGTCTACGCGCTACATGCCCGGCCTATGTCCATTTCCTCTTCTTTATTTCAACTATGATATCCTTAACCCTCGTTTGTCCCCTAATCCACTCTGCTCTCTTCTTGTCTCTTAAGGTTACACCTACCATTTTTCTTTCCATTGCTCGCTGCGTCGTCCTCAATTTAAGCTGAACCCTCTTTGTAAGTCTCCAGGTTTCTGCTCCGTAGCTAAGTACTGGCAAGATACAGCTGTTATATACCTTCCTTTTGAGGGATAGTGGCAATCTACCTGTCATAATTTGAGAGTGCTTGCCGAATGTGCTCCACCCCATTTTTATTCTTCTAGTTACTTCAATCTCGTGGTTAGGCTCTGCGGTTATTACCTGCCCTAAGTAGACATAGTCTTTTACAACTTCAAGTGCACTATTACCTATCACGAATCGCTGCTCCTTTCCGAGGTTGTTGTACATTACTTTCGTTTTCTGCAGATTAATTTTAAGACCCACCTTTCTGCTCTCCTTGTCTAACTCCGTAATCATGAATTGCAATTCGTCCCCTGAGTTACTCAGCAATGCAATGTCATCGGCGAAGCGCAGGTTATTAAGGTACTCTCCATTAACTCTTATTCCTAACTTTTCCCCTTCTAGGCTTCTGAAAACCTCCTGTAAGCACGTGCTAAATAGCATTGGGGAGATTGTGTCCCCCTGCCTTACACCCTTCTTGATTGGTATTCTGTTGCTTTCTTTATGAAGCACTATGGTAGCAGTTGATCCCCTGTAGATTTCTTCCAGAATGTTTATATGTACTTCATCTACGCCCTGATTCCGTAGTGTCTGCATGACGGCTGATATTTCTACTGAATCAAACGCCTTCTCGTAATCTATGAAGGCTATGTATAGTGGTTGGTTATACTCTGAGCATTTCTCTATTACCTGATTGATAGTATGAATGTGGTCAATTGTTGAGTAGCCTGTTCGAAATCCTGCTTGTTCCTTTGGTTGATTGAATTCTAATGTTTTCTTTACTCTGTTAGCAATTACCTTTGTAAATAGCTTGTATACTACAGAGAGCAAGCTGATCGGCCTGTAATTCTTCAAGTCCTTGTCATCTCCTTTCTTATGTATTAAGATGATGTTAGCGTTCTTCCAAGACTCTGGTACCCTTCCCGTCAGGAGACACCTCGTAAACAGCGTGGCTAGTTTTTCTAACACAATCTGTCCTCCATCTTTCAGCAGATCTGATGTTACCTGATCCTCACCAGCAGCTTTGCCTCTTTGCATGCTCTCCAAAGCTTTTCTGACCTTCTATCATTACTGGTGGGGTGTCATCTGGGTTACTGCTAGTTCTTATAGTATTAAGGTCGTGGTTGTCTCGGCTACTGTACAGATCTCTGTAAAACTCCTCCGCTATTTTAACTATCCTATCCACATTGGTAGTTATTTTGCCTTCTTTGTCCCTTAGTGCATACATCCGACTTTTGCCTATCCCAAGTTTCCTCTTCACTGCTTTGACGCTTCCTCCGTTTTTCAGAGCGTGTTCAATTCTCTCCATGTTATACCTTCTTACAACGCATACTTTACGTCTATTAATCAACTTCGAAAGCTCTGCCAGTTCTATTTTGTCTGTTGTACTTGACACTTTCATGATTTGACGCTTCTTAATTAGGTTCTTCGTGTCCTGGGAAAGCTTGCCAGTGTCCTGTCTAACTACCCTGCCTCCAACTTCCACTGCACACTCCGTAATGATACTCGTCAGATTATCATTCATTGTATCTACGCTAAGGTTGGTTTCCTCACTAAGAGCCGAGTACCTGTTCTGCAGCGACACTCTCAATTCCTGTACTTTCCCTCTCAGTGCTAGCTCATTGATTGGCTTCTTGCGTATCAGTTTCTGTCGTATACCTATACTGTTATAATTATACAGTCATTACTTAAATCCTCTTTTTGGGAAATCACATATGACACGACCAAACAGTTTCACACTGTCATCTGTTCACTACTACATAATACCTCAATGAGAATTTTTAGAAACACACTCCTTGTGGTAGCATAGCCATAGGGGAGAAGGGGGTTGGGAGAGGTGTTCAAACCCCTTCTGCAATTTTTACATTTCGTACATGTAACATGCACATGCACAAACAAACACATGCGTGAAAACCCATAAAGCAGGGTAAGACCTCTTCGAAAAAAATTCTGGAAATGCTCCTGGCTTTAAGAAAAGCTTTATCGAAGCACCCTCTTTCCCTCACTGGCCAATTTTGAAAAATAACAAGCTCTGCAATGAATGAAAAAATTAAAACAAAGTGTTGATCTACTGCTCACAGTGGCCTGCCGACGGTCCCTGCTTTCCAGGTGTAAAGGTGAGGCGTGGACAGTTCTTGGATTGAAAGATCACGGGTCTTTGGTGGCCATTACTGCCAAAAAACTACATGGCCACAACTCTGCAAGCTAAACAACGGTGGAACAGGTGCAATTAAATAAATCTATGGGGCGGACTTGATGCCCCTTCAGATAATTGGTGGAGGTGTGTGGCCACCCAGCCTGTGTACATGCCTTTGGACATGCCACACCAACTCTAAGTCTTCTTTCTTTTCTGTCGCGATTTTGACTAGCAGTGTGCTTTGAGCATCGAAACACAAATGTTATGCCTAAGTCACAAATGGATGTACTGACTTCTTTCTGAAAGTGGTCGAGCCCCTGGAATTGCAGCATAAGGGGAGCGGCTTCAAGGCCATCTTTTACAGCCTGGTGACTACGGCTCAGCGAGTCCTTGGCTCTGAAAGTGATCAAATAGTTTCTCTAAATGAAAGCTGCATTCCCTGAAACAAAACCGACGGCACTTGCCTGCGTTTAAAAGGGATCTCGTGACAAGAGCTTTTGATTTCTACCTTACCAAGAACGTTTCATTTCCTACGCAACTCTTGCAGAGATTTCACTGGTGTTTCTGTAATCATGGCATCACCAGGAGTTGACCGCGTCCAGACGTTACATAATTAACGCCGCATTACAGTGCCAGATCGAGGGACCTTGCTCTCGGTAAACTGCCCCCCTCCCAGCTCGTCACTGCACGACTCCCCTACTGCTAATTTAAAGAACTTAACTGGGTATGTTGGTATTGACTGAATACTTCCATACTACTAGCGAACACGCACAAGAACTTCAGAGAAAGGGACAGGACAACTGCTAGCAGTTGTCTGGTCTCTTTGTCTGGTGTCTATGTTCGCTCGTATCATGAAAGCATTTTGCACTTATATTCTTGCACTGGAATGCACCTTAGGAGTAAGACTTTTTTAAATGAACTAAATAAAGTTGAATTATGTGCACTTGGAATTTGAGGCATGAATCTTATTACATAGCCAGTCTCACCGTGTTTTTATTCCTCACTAATGTGCAGTTTTGTTGCTCTGAACTTGGCACCTTCGAGTACATCTGGTGACGCACTATACTTTTGTTTAATTATGATTAATGTAACTTGTGCACCTGCACAGAATAACCTTTTTGTTGTCTTGTTATGTTGAGCTGACATTCGTATGTTGACTGCATTGTATGTATTCAACCAAACTCCATAAAACCTTTTATCCAACTTTGCCTAAAAGTGACATTAAGTAGTGCTTGTAGTGTTTCTTGAACACGTGCACATCACTAGGAAATGCTGCTGCTTGAACAACCTCGATGAAAGCTACATTTAAACACCAAGTGACGACTGAAATTACGTTAACTATTCGATGCCACAGCACAAAAGTATAAATAACCTCAAATAGGTATATACCGCTGTAGTGAGTCGTCTCCATCGTTCACTCGAAGCACAAGGAGGGTGATATGCAAGGTAGGTATGCCGACGAGCACTCCTGCGATATTGGGTTCCTGGGTACGCATGTGGTCCTGGACTTTCTTTGCTGCTTTGTGGACCTGGTGAAATTGTGCTCTCATTAATATTTCGTTCAGGAATATAATTGACGACACTGCAAGTTTTATGGCAAAAAAGTCAGTATGCTCGCAGAAGCGCCAGACAGGACACTTAGGGACACTTGGGAATAAAACAAATTTTCTCGAAGTAGTAAATTACCCTTTCACCGTGCCAACACCACCACACTAGCTTTGAGAAGACACTTGTTATCGATAATGCTGTGGGTACGTAAATTGCTGACCAGCCTCTTCTCAGCAGTCTGCCGTCGCTGGGGATGCGCCCTATTGTGTACTTCCCTTTCTTGACAGCTTGAGGCGCTGTTCTCCATAGCACCACAACAAGCGAGAAAAGGCTCAGAAACGCAATATGGGTGACCACGCCTTCTTCAAGGCCTGGCGCCCATGGTTGGGGGTTTGGACAGTGTCTACTAGGACCCACTTAGTTCCTGATGGACTACAGTGAAGTGCATTGTCTTATGGGGATGCTAGAGACTTAACATACAGTTTCAAGCAATTTTGTTGAGCTAATGTGGATGAAATATGAAAAAACACTTTGAAATCTGTGACGCCACCATGAAATATTTCGGAGGAAAAGTTCGAAGTGATGCTTTTGACATGGATTCTCTCAACCGAATAAGGCTGTGGTGGTGAAATTAATGACACTGGAGTTTTCGAAGTATAATTTATCAATGTAACCATAGTCTCCCTTTAGAGACGCTGCTGCTGGGCAATGAGAATGTGACTCACCATGTGTCGTGCAAGCTGAACACTTACGTAAACATTATTTTGTGCATAAAGTGTATATTCTGTATCCTCTTTCGCAACGCTGTGAACCTTGCAAACGCTCTTCATTTTTGTAGTTAATGGTTACAGAGACTGCGCACCCTTTCAGGCACTTAAGAGACTTTTGTGCTCCACAAATTCCGCAGGTTCAGGAACGTTTCAGGACGTGGGGTATCAAAAAAGACAGTGGCAGGAGACAAAAAGAATGACTCGGGGTGCCAGCAATCAGATGATGTACTACAACTGCTCTGATCTGTGATTCAAGATCTAAACAGAAAGGTGTGGGTATATTTGTGCAAACATTCTTCCATTAGTATATTGGAGAATGATTGCATTTTTAAGCTGTCTTTGGGTCTGAAGAGGATGTTACCATGTCAATAAGGGTGCAAGTGCAGTGCCAATAAGAACATATACCCACGTTAAAGTAAGCACAACTAACAGAAGTTTCTGAGAAGTGCATTACCGTATTGAGAGGCAGACTGTTGGTTGAGTTGGTAATACATGACGATAGAAAAGAGTGCGAAATACCAAGGGACTATCTTCATATTGTCCCTCATTATTTCGCGCTCTTTTCCATTAAGCAGCTCCGCCGCGGTGGTCTAGTGGCTAAGGTACTCGGCTGCTGACCCGCAGGTCGCGGGATTGAATGTTGGCTGCAGCGGCTGCATTTCCGATGGAGGCGGAAATGTAGGCCCGTGTGCTTGTATTTGGTGCACGTTAAAGAACCCCAAGTGATCGAAATTTCCGGAGACCTTCACTACGGTGTCTCTCATAATCATATAGTGGTTTTGGGACATTAAAACCCCACATATATATCAATCAATCAAAATTACCATTAGGCACTAAGAGAACACTGCCCGTGTTCCTCCTGTTAGTGTTTCTCTCTGCCATCTTTTTGATGTCACAATGCAGCAGTAAATCGTAGAAAAAGTGGCTCTCACATTTACGTCATCCACTTGGATTGCCACAAAGTAGTTCGGCCGCTTATCCTTACTGGGCTTTGACTTCTTAGATGACGACGACGACGACCCATGTTTGCCTTTAATGAATAAAAAGAAAGAGAGTAAGTTCTTCGGCAAGCTTCCAGTAACCTAGGCAATAAACCAACTTGTTTTTCTCACTTCTAACCAACCTGTAAACAGCGGTTTGAGACTGTAGACAGGGTCGTCGTCGTCATCTTCTGTATCGGCCGATGAAATCAAACCGGCCGGAAGCTCTGAAATCCACCCGGCAACATCCACGTCCTTCTCCGTCACGCTCGTCACCAATGACCGCGCAGTTTTCGTCCGAACTACAGCCGCCATCTGAGAGACACACGCTTGCCGACTTTATCTTTAGCAGTCTTCTGACGTTTTCGCCGACGGCGGCGACAGCGCTGTTTAGTAGGCGTAAGCGCCGAGCTCGCTCCCGCGTCGTAGTCGTCTCCGACTAGCGTCTGCAGACAGGGAAACAACAATCGGCACTCACTTTTATTAGACAACACGTACCAGTAACACTTAAATAATACCCAAAAGAGATGTTGTTCGATTGGAGATAAACATTAACGCCCGAACAAGGGGCGGCGGCGATCATTTATACATAAATAACACCCGAATAAAGGGAAGGAATGATCACTAAAGTGGCAACGAGTCTCGAGTCAGAAGGGACGCCTTACAGCGGCGGACGTCGACGACTGCTCCAGAGCACTGTCGGTTTCGGCTTCATTCGTGTTGCGCAGAGCGGGCAGCGGAGCGGTCGACAGAGTGGAGCGGTGCGTCTGAGAACTTTCGGCTCTGTCTGTCCTGCTCGTGGACTCGCCTTCGTTCTCGCCACTGTTAAGCAAGCGCCGTATGCGAGTAGAATCGGTCTTCTTCGGCATGGGTTCGGCGACTCTGTCTTCCGCGTCCGGGTCGCACAGGCTCCAGTCCAGTATGGCGGGGTCCTGCGTGGAAACGTTGGCACCGAGCTCAGGAACTGCTGTTGACGCAGTGGGGCTCGTGCCGCCGGGGTCGGAATTCCCTATGCCGAGAGCGGAGCGGAGAGCGGACTCGACGGCGGTGCTCGAAGGAACCGGGCTCGACTCCTGGCGGAGCGCCTCATCGTGGACGGTCAGCGGCGACGGTAGCGGGGCCACTCTCTTCTCGGAGAAGGAAGGCAGGTTCTTCTTGGTGACCACGATTGCAGTCATGGGCGGGCAGTTTGGGAAGGTGCGCGTCTGACATGCTACCGGCACGAGCGCTGTTGCTGGTCTTGCGTATTAGCGACTGACGACGACGCGCGAGCAGCAGGTCGATGCTCGGCGCGCAGCATGAGCGATTTCGGAGACTGAGCCGTAGGCGACTTGCAGCGAACGCTACTGGTCCGCTACTCATTGAAAACGAACTGCCAGACAAAAACGAGTATTTTGTAAACAGCAGCGCATTTCAGAGGTTACAGCATTCGTGCAAGATATGAAACATCGGTATCTGGATTTGGCTTGGCTTGATTTAGGTTATTTAACAGCTCATGTTGTTGTACCGGACAGCTCAGTAAAAAATAATAACAAACATGTAATAATACGTTATGAACTGTTTTTTGACCCGAAAAAAAGTGTTTTTGTAATTATTTAGTCCTAAAGTGTGGCTAAAATACGCAACTTTAGCTTACCTGTGAGACGTTGTGACGTTTTTTGGCAGTTTCGGTACAAAGTCTAGAAACATACTAGAAATAGAAAAGGTATTTTTCTAGACACTGTAGTTTTGGTGATTACTAGTAAGTTTTCTGTAATAGAGTAGTTTCGGCACAGCTTACAGGTCGTCTCGTAGCATTTCATGTTAGTTTGTGGCGCCGAATAATTTTTATTTGAGAGATTCAGTTTCCGAACTCCTTCTTTCGAGGCGGGCGTGATTTGCTCCAAGGAAGTGTGAGGGCGCTGCAGTCTAGCCTCGCGCCAAGTGATCGGCTGCTCTCCGCTGGCTCAAGTTTCGTGCGTTCCGTGACGGTGTTCGGTCACACTTCTTGTTTTTTTTTCCCCTTCTTTGTGTGTGTCACGTCGCTTTCTGCACACGTGACATGCTTCCAAAGTCTTCTGAAGACAATTAGACGGCTACTGTAACGAAGACAGGTTCTACGGCGTAGAAAGCGCTCCGATTGTTGACAATTAATGCGGACACCACCATGCATGTAGGCACACCGACCTTGTGTGCATGTACTACGTCTCCCGAGGTTGATTCAACTGTTGCTGCTATCCCGTGCGCCGTAGTTCAAACCTTCCGGACATCATAACAATTTTTTTTTGTACCCAGGCGCACCAGCGAGTACAGGAACAGCACCGAGAAATGCCACTCTCTCCGCCGTCCGCCCCGCTGCTACTGCAGAAGTGGGAAAGATCCGTGGGAAATTTTGGGAAAGACCCGCAATGAACAATGTTCGCTTTCAAGAAAGCGACATCGTCAAGACATATAAGCATATCACAAACGAAAAAAGTTGAAATCGACCAAATTTCATAGGCATTGAGGAGTGATGCAGTTCCTTGTTTCCGAACCTCCCATTGCACTTGTCATGAAGCCGCAAGAGAAAGGGTACCTGTACCACAACCAACTGCCGCTGCCTTGCGATCTACCAGAAGAACTCCAGCAACAGGCACCCGCTCCTTCGGAGGACTCCGGCTTTTCTGAGCGATTGAAAAAAAAAAGTGAGCTTCAAATTCCCTACAAACTAGAGATCGGCGGTTCTTGAGTAGGCGGGAAAATGTCCTACAATAGTATTCTACAATGCAGAATTCAAGAAATATACCTACTGGCACAGAGAAATTTACAAGGACTGTATGGACATACGACTGGTATGTGTGTCTTGGACTGTATGGACATACGACTGGTATGTGTGTCTTGTGTTATTTTTTTAGAGAAAACGCCCCCCCCCCACCCCTTCAAAAAAAAAACAGAATGGTAATAACAGCCAAGAACAAGGTGAAAATTGCAACCAGCGAATCAAGGAAACGCTTGATCTGTGCCACAGCACCGATAGAGAACAGAAAAAACGAAGTATGCCGGCTGAGTGAAAAAAACTAAATAAAATTGAAGACTGCATCCCCAGCGACTCTCATTGATCTAGTTGAAGATTTACCTAAAGTGTCCATTGTACATTCATCATGCAACAAGCATAACCACCGAGTGGGTATAGGTACACAGCAGATTGGCTGATGCTTTGTTTGCTGCTCACACGACCGAATTGCTGCAGCAATTCAGCGATGCGCTTGTTTGAAATTCGATTGCTCTTTACTTATGTGCGACAGTGACAAGTGTTCTTCTGTCAATGCACTTATGTCTCCCGATTTTCACAAAATTTGCCTTTTTAACGATCCCAAGTATTATCCACTCATAGACACCCATAAACCTGAATACTTCAGAAGAAAAAAGTGCACTGGTTCATATAGTAGCTGAACAGAGAAATAGCGTCGGCAAACGCGTTTTTTTTTTCAAAATAAAGAAAAGTAGAGTTGTTTCAGTGGGTTTTTAAACGTGGCTGATGCCTTACAGCAATGGCTTGCTTTCAACTTCCTTTAGGGTACGGCCCGCCGAGGTGCTTATGGCTGCGCAAAGTTAATGTGCACAAGGCCGAAGATCCCTGCGCTAAGCCTCACAAAAGTAGCTTCTAAACGACTAAGCTAGAGCGAGATGAGTCATGGCTTTTACCAATGCTTCTGTGAAACGTGGCTAGTACAATTAACCTCTAAATATTGTTTTTACTACCTGGAAGAACAAGAAGTTACCGGGCGGCAGTGCGGCTCTTTAATCGACAAACGCTCGCCTAGCACCACGCTTATGCGAGAATTTTTACCAACGGCCAGGAAAGACACCGCACACGCATCTGGGCTTTACGTTATACTCCGAGTTCCTAAACGAAAAAGTCGCAGTGTTGTGTGAACGCTGCTCACCGGCTACACCGCGGCTAGCTGTAGCAGACGACCCTCGTTTGCTTGGCGCAAAGTTGGATTGCAGCGCCGCGGTGGCGGCATCTGCAGCCTGTCGCCTGCTCCCCGAAGGCGAAGCGGAGAGTTCCGAAACTGAAAAGTATCTCTAAAACGTTGCTTTCACCAGTGTTTGCACGTGTAACTGAAGCAAAACAAAAATCTAATTATGCCCATTGAAAATTTACTTGTCCTCTAATTTATAGAAAGACGAGCGCAGGTGTAACTTTATTCGTTTCATTATTCTTGCCAGATAAAAAATTGTCCCAGCACATCTGAAGTGACTGTTATCTCAAAGCCTTTGATACTACGTTTATTACAGGTGTCATATGCTATGCTTTTATGCAACAAAAATTTTTTATGCACGTCACAGCTGCCGTGTTTGAAAAGTTTTAGTTTTTTATGGCCCCCGCATGGCGGCATTCCGAGCGCATGTTCGCCGTACACAGAGGTGCCAACTGGATTTTGTAAATAATGCCTGCAGCTACGCTGATCTGAGTGCCCGCCGGTTTTTTTTGCTTTCCTGATTGACCTTTTAAATGCACTGCGCACCGATGCTCGTCGATCGCTGGATGAGTGCACATTAGTGTGCGCGGATTAAGCACTGAAGTCTACAAGCAATGCGGGAACGCCCAACGTGATTGACGACCAGTTCCTAGTTGAGCGGTCAAGGTAATTACACCTGTCTTACGTTAATCTCGTTAGCGGAAGACACACGAGAGTGAATACACGTTACTAGGACCGCCACGCCAGCCGTACATGAACTTTTTCCCGCTCTATAAAGTGCTGATCGGTGCGAGCGTGCGCTTGATCGTAGCGCTGTCTGCGCGTTGGCACTGCTTATAGCCCGGAGGCCTTATTGCAGCGAACTTCGGTTTCGTCTTGCTCTGAACTGGCCTGCAGTTCCGGTGTTGTAATCTGTCCTAGGCGCTGCTACCTGTCCGCTGAACGTGGCGCAGGTGTACATTGCATCGTGGTTGAAAGATCGGCGCGATCGCGATCAAAATCTGCGTTTATCTGGCGTACGTGGGCTTTGCCGCCGGCTGTGTAAACTTCAAGGGACAGGTGAGACGACAGCCGATCCTCCTTGCGTCGTGAGGCAGCGGATCTTCGCTAGTGCACGGCCGCGCATCGCCCTGCGAAATTAAACGACCTCCTCTCTTGTTGTCGGGTGCTAATTTGCGGCGATTGATTCGACGAAACTATTGACAAAAAAAAAGTGCGTCGATTTACGAACTTCGGTGCAGTGTGACCGACCGATCCGAGAGCGGTGGTTTAGGTTTTTCTCGGATTCGCACGCCGTGGCTTCGCAAACGTGTCGAACCGTAGAAAAGGGGCGTGTTTTTTGATAACGCCGCTATCAGCGCCTCCAGATGATCCACCGTGCTTTTCGAAAGTCGGCAGCGCCCTGACTGTATCGTTGTTCTAGCTTCTCGTATCGGATCCGTTCTCATTAAGCTTTCATAAGAATCTAGCACTTCTTTAGCGGCTTGCACGGTGGAAAGAAAAAAAAAGTACATTCATGAGTCATCCACTCCGGTTTCAAGGTTTCGGCGTTGATCTGCGTACGTGAAACATTTTTCATTTACAAAGATTGATGAACGCTGCACGCTTTACGATCCAATTCGAAGGCAGCGGTATTTTCATCGATTCTTACATTGGACGCCCTTAACAATGTGACGGCAGGGCAAGGCACTGCGTCAAGTTTCGAGTGTCAGATTTAAGAGCTTGCCTATTAATAACTGCCATCAAAGCCGGCGCGTGTTGCTTCCAGGTTCGGAAATACGAGTGTTTAATTGAACAGCTGATACCAATGCATATATTCAGTAGTACTTGACAATTCTGTAGCACTCGCCCGCTGTACAGATTTGTGTCGTTCAAGCTTGGATGCCTTTGCACATAAGGGCATTGTGATGTGAGCAAGTTGCCAAGAAACAATTTCCCGTGGGGTTTATACAATAGTAATAACAACAACAATAATAATAAACTAGGTAAATTGTAAGCATTCATTTACCTGCTGTAAACTTTGTCCTTTGTACCTAGCATGTCTTACTAGGTGTCCTTCAAGGCAATAAACTAGCTCTGCTTATCTTGATAAAAGCTGTTTTTGTTATCTACAACTCTATTGTGTTACCTAGAACTCTATCTACAGCGCTATTATTTTCTGCTCCACTTAGCTTGTGCTCCTTTTCAGAGTTACAATGGGAAATTCGTGTCACTATTAAAATTTTTGCATATGTCCACTGTATGACAACGGTCTCTTGAAGCAATGTTCGACTTTGTGTGTTTTGTGTCGGCTGTATCCAGTCAGAGGCTCAACACCAAAAGGTTTACCACCGCTAAATGCTCGTTTCTTTTCCACCACTTATTTGTTTTGTGCATTTCTTGACCTGCCAACACCACGTTTCTTTCCTCCTAAATGTAACTGGAATATGGGATATGCTACTGTGGTGTAGTGCAAATTTGTTCTACATGGAATCATATGTATTTAGTCACGTCACAAATGAAAGTTGGTGCTGGTACGATACTAACAGATGTTTCTCGATAGTGGTACCTAACCATTGATACAGTGATCATGAGATGATGGGGGGGGGGGAAAAAAGGTAGAGTGAGGAGAATGTCCAGTGCGTAAAAGGCTGATCGGCGATCAAGGGAGAATGCAATGATAGGAAATTAGAAAACTCACGACTAGGAATCTGTCAGCAACATATCTGCTACATATGGCAGAGGGAAGACGACTTCGTTTGAAGTTTCTACATTTTCTGGAGCAGACAAAGGAGCCACTACTCTATTTTTCGTTTGTCAATTCTTGCACTGACATTATTTTTAAAAAAGAATCTCCATTGGCTAACTTCCTTGAATTGAATTTAGTACTATATGTCAAAGTTCACTGTGGTGAAAGAGGATCCTTCAAAAGGTCACGAAGGTAACACATGCGAACATTTCACTTTTTTTTAATAGTTTTTCAGGTAGTGTTCTGTTCTGTGTGCTGCAGAAGTGTACAAATGTTTTGCAACTTTAATAAAAGTATGGGGTCAATGATTTATCACAGAATGCCTTAGAGACAATGTACAAGTGTAATAAATGGCATCTTGAAATTTATGGGGTGACATGGCTCGACCTTTACTTGGTGCATTTAAGGTAATAGCTCCTTTGCCTTGGCTTCTGTCATTAGTTTACTGCTTTAAGACAGTGCCGACACAAAAATTTTGCATCTTTTTTTTTTCTGTGGCAGCGAGTAGCTAATGACCCACTCATCATGGCTGGAAACCTCACCTGTCAGCTCAAATAACTGTTGGCTTGAGTTCACTACGGTTTGTTACATAGGAATGTTTTTAGAGAGCCCAGTTGCAGTGTCACTTTCAGGGAGGACTGATGGAGGCAGGACCAGGTTTGTGTTTATATAAGTGCACTTTGCCACGTGACCACACAAAACAGTGCCGTGCGCCGTGTATAGCAGTGTGTAACCACGACTGTCAGAGAGTACACGCGAGGAGCATGGCAGTCAATACAAACTTATGACATAGCTGGTTGTCGGTTGTTTACATTACAGCCGAGTTAATAAAGATATCGAAAGGTGCTGATTTTTTTTTTTCACTCGATTGTGCATGACAGACTTCAGAATTTAAGCATGTTCTAGCTTGTATTTACCTTTGGTATTGCCGCACTTGTTCATTTTGTTATACTGATGTGATCAGGCTTCACCCGCACAAACTGTAACCACCTCTCGCTGCAGGACGTGCCACAATGTTAGGAAAACTTCTGTATTCTTTTAGAGCATTCTGATAAAATTCCGTGCATGTCATGATTAGTAAAGTTTATTCTCGAGCTAACGTGAACCTCAGGGATAAATCTGGAATTTTTGGCATTTCATTTATAAAAACGACACATTTCGTCAGCGATCAGGATATTGATTGACGACTGACATCCATGCTTGCCACTTTCGCTGCACTTGAATGTTACTTCTTTAACTACGTTCAAGTTCGCCATTTGAAACTTTCATCTTTACCGGCTGCATTTTCCCCTCTTCACCATCACAGCCGTGCGTCCACATGATTCGGTATCAGACGTGATCTTCCCTGCAAAATTTCGTGTCAGTGCTAATTGAGAACCTCTTTAATTGTTGATGCAGTCGGCCCAGGGGCAGCCTTGGTTGAGAAGAACGGGGCCATGGCGACGGGCGAGCGAAGTCTGGCGGAGAAACGCCTTCTAGAAAACCTGCAAAATGATCTGCGGCTGCTCTCCAATGAGGCGAAGAAGAAGCACCCGCCCTTGAAGGAGGTAACAGCGTGCCTTCCACTGTTGTTTGATGTGTAAATAAAACAGAATAGTTGGTCGTTAATGTGCCAGCATCAGTGACCTCGTTATGAGAGAAAAGGGCTGAAAAAAGCTTTAATGAGCATTCTTTCTGTGAAAACAGGAACGCCTAACATTAAAAAAACAAAGAAAGAAAACAATACAAACAGCAAAGCAAGGTTTCTGCAAGTTTTGAATGTATGGCCTCGAGCACAGGGACCTGTTACTGCTATAACCTAGTAATACTTAATGCGGTAGTGGAGACTAGATATAAGGAAGTAAGCTCTGTGCAGTGTGTGAATTATTCCTCATGTCTGTCTCGACTAGCGGCCTAGAGCCATACTTAAAGGAGAAAGGAGTACTGACACAATTTTTGGTATCCCAAAAGGGACATTTTTCGTTTCCGTGGTGTACATCATAAAGGCTCTCCCCATACCAGAGCCAGGCTACACAAATAAAAAAATTTACTTTGATTTCAGTTTTCGTCTCGCAGCATCTGCAAGCCAACCCCACCGCAGTGAACATTATCATGACAAGTGAACACATTTCACTGGGTTTGCGAAATCTCTGTCCTGCTCGCAGCCTACATCGCAGACATCATTGTTGTAGTCTCTGGATGACGATTTGCTGGTCGTCGTTTACGTGAGCCGTGTGCGACTGGCAGCAAACTGAGGGCTGTTGCTTGTATTTTAGAGCTGCAGTATTCCTGCGGCGCCAGACTTGTGTGGACTCATCACTGTGAAATCGCTCCCATTATACTGAGTCCGACATTGCTGTTTTAAAGTAACAGTATTAAAAATGTAGTCAATGCATCCTTAAGATCTCTTGACACTCTCCTTAGGGTTCTCGACACCCATGCTTTTATGGGTAGCAATGACCTGAAAATATTTAAAATTTTTTTGAGTACTCCTTTAATAGCTGTTGCCATTGTGCCATGCACGCCTGTCGATAAAGGTAAAGAACAACTTCTAGAATGTCTTGTGTGCAGGCTCGCACGTTGAGATGCGGGTTGCGTTTTTATTTTGCTGCTGATGCATAGGCCCCACTAGCTTGACGTGTCCTCATTTTTGTTGAAAAATAGAAAACACCCAGATTTCTAAGACGCATGCACAAAGAGAAAGGAAATTGCACAAACGTATGCTCTAGGGATAGACTGCGTTGTATGCTGCAATGATATCAAGTGGCGACGCATTGCACCTATTGCTGTATCTAGTGCTGACACAATTTATGCATTGCTTCGCTGTTTGATAGCGTGTCTGATGAATGGCACGCTATATACAAGTGGCACGCCAGCGCCAACCAACGTTGGCCATCTGTAATAATAACAGTAGTAGTTTCTTTGTTCAGTTCAAACCCAATGATTTCAGTTGTATATCAATTTCTAAGTTTTACCTCGTTCTCATCAGCAAGCCATTTACCTGCAAAACTGTTTTCTTTTACAGGCGGCGGAGTCTGGAATCATCAAAGTTCGGAATGCGGCATCCAAGCACCATGACCTCAGGCTTGGTATGTGATCACGCAGCCTTGCAAACGAGCTTCAGGGTATACCTGAACTGTCATTAAAACATGAGTGACTGTCATGACTATGAATCTGGAAGCATTGACACAAGATAGAACTTTGAACAGTTGCAAGTGAAAACAGTGATGTGAAAGTGAAATTCATAACTTTGTCACAACGAGTCATCTGCATCATTAGCTTGGTTAATTGCATGTATCTCAAGTGGGCAATGTATAGATCGCCGTATATTCTTGCCTTTTAACGGTGGTGTCAAGTACACGATACCATCAATTACGCTAAGACCACTGTTATAGCTTAAATGATAGCACGACGCACGCCTCATGCGCACATAAATTTTGCCCTCGTCTGTGGCAAAGGTTATTGTCTATTCAATTTTCATGAATAATATAATTCTAAATATAATTTTAACAAATTTAGTTGCCTTTATGAGTATCTATTTTCATTGTCTGTTCATTTTGGGTGGTTTTTACTATACATATAAAAACAGTAGTGCCTTTAAATGTAACCAATTGTTCTTGTTCAGTGACAGCATTAGTTTTTTTGTTTAAAAAAATCTAAGAAAGGAACCAGAAACACTGATCTCTCCAACTAATGTTGCCAGAGTTATCTGCGGTGAACTCTCAATTTCACTAATGTAGGCTGTTCTTTGTGGACGTAGTTGTTGATATGTGTCGAAACTGTTGAGTCATTTAATGTATTAGCATTTGGAGGAACGCTGAAGGACAGTAAAATATTCGAGTTTCTGTGAATTATGCGCTTGCATAACTCCTTAGTGTTGCTAATATTCAGTAGCATTTGCTGTCGAAGTAATTGAAGGTAACTAGGCATAGTCAAAGGTAATGGGAATGAGTTTCTCGTTTACTGCAACATTTCCACTGAATTTCGTGCAGCCCTGCTTTCCGAGAGCCCGGAGATCTTGGAGCCCTTCTTCCTTGGCTGTGATACAAGGAACCCGAAAATTGTTCAGATCTGCCTGTCAGCCATCCAGAAATTGATCACCTTTGAAGCAGTCTCATTGGTGAGTTAAGCCTTGTTATTTAAGATGTTTAATACCAAGAAAAACAAACTGAATGAAAATAGTGATTATAGGCTGTGCCATAACATATGGGGTATTAATTAAAGAGATAACATTGTAAGAACTGCAGTGGTGAATGGGCGGCCATGGTGCCCACGTAGAGGCGTAATGTCAGAGTGCCCGTGTATCGGGATTTAGGGGCACGTTTGAGAACCCGCGTGCCTTGTAGTTGTTCCATGCTCTGTCAGCCGTGGTGCTGTAGCAGTTGCGGTGCTCGACTGCTGAACCGAAGGTCGTGGGTTCGAATCCTGGAACCATTGATCGTGATTTAAGTGGAGCTGAATTGCTAGAGACTTGTGTACTGTGCAATGTCAGTGCATATAAGAGAACACCAGCAGGTGTTCGAAATTTCCGGAGCTTTCCGCTACAGTGTCCCTCTCAACAATGTGTTTAAACTTGCGCCGATATTCGAATTATTTGAATATTCGAACCAACAATGCAGTAATTTAAATTATTTAAGATTTTGAAGTATTCGAGACGGAACGAATAGATGCATATTAATGTGAATGTAACATCTTGTAAAGGTGGTTTCACTGCAGTGGAGTTGTGCTATGCCATGAAAGCACTTGTTTAAGGGTATATAGTTTGCATGTAACCTTTTGTAAAAGTGGTTTCACTGCAGGGAAGTGGCGCTGAGATGTGAAAAAATGCATCCAGTAAAAATACACACTGCTGCAAAACCCCACATCAAGGTTAAATGAAGATATTGTTCTCACACTGCTTCATTTTCCAAGTTTAAAAGCTCATTTAAAATGCACATTTTAACACTTTTTAAATCTTGATGTATTTTACAGGCATCACTTGTGTTCTACCGAAAGTCAAATCCTGCTACTATTAAAAGTTGTTTTCACTTTCTTCAATGTAAAAGAATGGCTTTAACACAAGCCTTTCTTCAATTTTAATAAAATAGTGTGCAGGTTAGTTCGGTCATCACAAATATGTCCATTTTCTTTATAATATGTGATATATATACCATTCGAATTCTATTAGAAGCTATTTGACCAAAATCACTATTCGCTTCAAACCTAAAATTGGCTATTCGCACAAGCCTAGGTGTATTGGTTTTGGGACGTTAGACCCCCAATATTATTATGGTTTTGATTCGTGCAAAGTGTGATCTCTTTGTCATGCGTTCACGTGTTTTTTTCAACTTGTTTATTGTTCTTCCGTGATCTACAACGGAACCTCGTTGAAACATTCCTGTTTTGTATGATTTCTTGGTTTTCAGCGTACGAAATATCATTATCAAACGAATCTATGCAAGGCTTTAAAAGTGAATTCAGATTGTATATTTTCCGGAATGGTATGCTTTTTTTTCCTTGTTTTTAAAGAATGATGATAATCATATGTGGGGTATAACATCCCAAAACCACCATACGATTATGAGAGACGCCATAGTGGAGGGCTCCGGAAATTTCAACCACCTGGGGTTCTTTAACGTGCGCCCAAATCTGAGCACACGGGCCTGCAACATTTCTGCCTCCATCGGAAATGCAGCCGCCGCAGCCGGGTTCGATCCCGCGCCCTGCGGCTCAGCAGTCGAGTACCTTAGCCACTAGACCACCGCGGCGGGGCTTGTTTTTAAAGTACGCATGGACGAGGTTCTACTGTAGTTTTTAAAGGCTGTTGTGGTCTCAAGTGGCAACCCTTTTGCAGACGGCAGCTGTGAACATCATCACCTGCCTCTGGAATCTCATGGAGAGCGGGATCGAGGAACTGAAACTCCTGCAGACTGTCACACTCTTGCTCACGGCCAACACAGTCGTACAGGGTGACGCACTAGCCAAGGTGAGGCCTTAGTTGTATCAACATTAGTGTGGTTAAAGTTGCGTGGCATGTTTTGTTACTGCATTGAGACAGAGCTTTCTTACAAACTGTTTTTGGACATTGTTGTCCACGACTGATGCTCAGCACTGCCGATGCCCTGCCGTGTGGCTTGCTTTTGGGTAACAACAAATTTGTGTGCCTGATGATGATGATGAAATCAGCGCACGCAAGACAGGGTAAGTTGGGGATCATTGGAAAAGGCCTTCATCCTTTTGTGGGCATGCACTCGGACCTCATTGTAACAAAGTTGCATCTCACATGAAAATAAGTTCGTTATATCTGGAAATTCGTTATAAATGTGTATTCCTAGCCCTCCAGCTCTACACTCAAACCGATATTTTGTTATATCCAGGTTCGAGTGTAGAATAGGCTGGTGATGCAGTTGCTACTGATGACGACAGTGTTGGGATAAGTCATGGTCTCCCGTTGTGACAGCTTCTGTAATCATTAGGCAATGAAGGTGGGCGCATTTCTCTTGTGCCAATGGCAAGCAGTGTTTCTAGACGCACGTGTGTGTTGTGTCTTGTAGCAGGAGGTTTCCTGTAAAAGAATCATTTCGCATAGTTTCCAACAAGTGCGCTGAACCTTTACGGCTTTTCAAAATGCCTCTTTTATGTAGGTGTGAACAGATTTTAAAGTTATTGCTTGTGAAGTACATATAACATGGTTTGACCTTTTAGGGGGCACTTGTTAGAGATTTAAGTTACTTTCTCGGGGAACCACTTGTCTCGGCAATTAATTAGAAAGACTGACTGGATACACGTCTACTTATTTGTTTTGAGGGCAAATGTTGTAATTTCGAAGTGAAACCAAGCACTAGTTAAGTCATGTTCATTTATAATAGACTTCAAGACTATTACCACTTCATCGATTTCGCAGTTTTATTTCTAGTTGTGGGAAAACATTATTGAACCTTGATTTAATGAAATTCCACAAATGAGTTTGTTAAATCGGGAACTTTCATGATTGAGAATGGCATTTGTCGATCCTTCCAGGTTTAAAATTATGTTGCATCAAGTTGCAAAAGCTACCACGTCAGCGTATTTGCTATTAACTCACCTGCGTGCTTAAATAGTGTGCAGTTTAGAGTTAATGCATGCTCTCCCCGTCTGGTGAAACAGGCCCAAAGTCCGGAAAGAAATGTGCATTCTGTTGTTCTGCACAGTTCGGTGTTTAGTTTCATAAGAACTGAAACGAGAATGCTTCCGCTGTGTCGATTGCACCCCTCCTACGCTGGCAGCACACTGCCAGACTGTTTAGACATGATAAACTTTTAAAACCTTCTTTTCTTGTGCATATTTTTTTCCTGTATGCTTGATTAAGTCAGGTTTGACAGCGAGGTTTGTGTGGTTATTTCGAGTTTGTAAAAGCATTAAGCCTACGGGCAACTGCAATAGGAATCCAGATTTGTTTGTGAAATCAGATAATTCGTAAAATCTGGTTTCACCTTCCACTGTAGTAACACACTGTGTTTACAGTTTGAAAGTAGTACCACAAAGCTCTCACTGCCAATGAACTGGATGACACTTTTGATTGATATGTGGGGTTTACGTCCCAAAACCCCCATGTAATTATGAGAGACGCCATAGTGGAGGGCTCCGACTACCTGGGGTTCTTTAACGTGCACCCAAATCTGAGCACACGGGCCTACAGCATTTTCGCCTCCATTGAAAATGCAGCTGCCACAGCCAGAATTCGATCTCGTGACCTGCGGGTCAGCAGTTGAGTACCTTAGCCACTAGACCGCGGGGCTGGATGACACTTTCAGTTATCTGTAAAACTTGAATGCTCATCTGGATGACACTTTTAGTGATGTGTAAAACTTGAATGCTCATCCCACACGTGTTGCCATAAACTGAATGCCTGAGTTTTCTGTTTCTTGTACTTACTTCTTCCAGGCCATCGTGCTGTGCTTTAGGTTGCACTTCACTAAGAACAGCACCACCAACAACACCGCATCGGCGACCGTCCGCCAATTGGTCTCCGCTGTTTTCGAGCGTGTCCAGGCCGAAGATGCAGCATTGGCAGATGGTCAGTGAATATCCTGGTAACATCATGCATTGATTGCCCTGAAACTGTAGTTGGCACACTCGATCGATTGATGGATCGATCGATTAATCAATCAGTCAATCAATCAAACAACCAACCAACCAACTTTGGTTACTTGTATTCTACGAATTTCAGAATTGACGCTCATTGATTTAATCTTGAAAATTTTGCTGGTACAATCAATCAATCAGTTTTGGTTACTCATGGTACTCGCTCTCCACAAATTTCAGAATTGGGGCTCATTGATTTGATCTTGAAATTTCAGTTGGTACAATCAATTAGTCAGTCAATCAATCAATCAACTTAGGTTACCCATATTATTTGTTTTTCATGAGTTTAGCTTAGATAAGAATCATGGGTTTAGCTTAGATAAGAATCTTTTGATGTTGTCACATAATGTGCTTCTCAAGATTCTAATCCTTAGTTCTGTAGAATTTCTTCTTTTTTTTTCAGCATTCAGAAAACGCACCGAGCATGACGTGACCCAAGTTTTTTTATGCTGTGATCTTGCAGTGGTGAAAACGGAGGAAGTCAACTTGGAAGAACTGAAGACTGGTAGCCGTTGCCCTCCAAAGTCCTTGCAACCATGTGCAGCGGATGCCTTTCTTCTGTTCCAGGTAAGACAAGTCTTTCTCTTTATTTGGATAAGAATGATGCATTCCACCGCAGTCACATTGTTGCTGTTGCATTGTGTTTATTAGCACGCTACCCTCTTCCCTCTTGAATGACCTAGTGCGTAGCGCTTATTGAAAGAGGTCACAGTTTTGCCAAAAGGGCAAAGCAATGAATGCAATAGCAACATATTCGAATGTTTTTACGAAGCAAGGCCAGCATTTGTAGGAGCAATGTAATTGTAGTAAACATGCGCCTGCTAAGTAACCAAGCTTCCTGAGGTGCGGACACAGCGACAAATTGCAATGTTATACGAAGTGAGGCTGGCAGTCAACTCATTTAGATCTGATCTCACATAACTCTACAAAACGCTGGTGTAAGAGAACACTGCCACTTCAGGTATACTTTTGGCACCGTTTTTTTCGGGTTGAGAACGCAGCCCGTAGAAGCTCCCTCCTGCTGTGGGGGCACAAGCCGCGATAGCGCGGCAAATGTAAGCGCCCCCCCCCCTCTTCCTTGTTCGCTCACGAGGTAAGCACACGTGCAGACGACCCCGGCCGGAAAAGTGATGTTCGCTCCGCAGAAAGAGAAGGTTAGCGCATCCTTCCTTGTATTTGTGTATACATACATATATGTGAATGATGGCGGCGGCGACTACGACGGCAAAAATCAGCCCAGACTGTCCATATAACTGCTATCACGATAAAACTTAATACAGATGTATGGATAAGTAACTAAATTATTAACCAAATAAAGCAGCTTTTCACATACACTATGGCAGAAGAGCATATTTTCAGAATTCGCTTTGTAAGTAAAGAGTGACCATGTAAATGGTTCGTAAGCTCAGACAGGGTGTGCTTCTCATAGATATAGCACACACACGTTGAATATAATTATTTTTTTTCAATATTCTGCAGACCTTCTTAATTTGAGCGGGAGTGGTGCACAAAATATGCTGTACAGTTACGATGGTGTTTCATACAGAAAGAGATTAACTTAATCAAAAGGTAGAGTATATTGGGAACAACAGTGTACAGTATACATTGTTTAGCTCACCTGCGAGAACACTGGGTGTGCAAGTGTGCAACAAGCGTAGAGCAGTGATGAACAGAGTTTCACAAACTGTTGCGAAAAAAAAAAAGGGACACTTCAAACGGACAGTCGGGCTGTGGTCGATCATTGCGGCTTGAAATCTTGCCTGCTTTTTCTTTTCCTTCGCCCGGAGCTGGTGCAAATTGTCAATGCCAACCAGCCATTGTTTGTGGTGGGCCGATCAGGTTGGTATAGCTAATTTGGTAGTTGGTAAGGTGGTAGCGATGAAGTTTAATTTCTCATGGAGACACCACAACTTAAATAAATATTTTGAGAATTGGCTTTGCAAGGAAAGAACGACGATGTATGTGGTCCAAGAGCTCGGGCAGGTTGGGGTTCACAGAAGGCAAAGTGCACAATTAACTAAACTCGTTTTAAGGATTACGAGATGGCGCAAGTATGCTGGTGAAGGAGGGGAACAATACGTGCGTGTGCATGCAAAAAGCGTAGAGGGGTGATGAACAGAGTTCCACGTAGGGTTGAGAAAAAGAACTCACAGGGTTCCTTATGCATTCACCTACGATGACTCAAAGAAGATAGTAGTTTTCATCCTTTTCTTCTCACTGGATTGTATTTATTTCCCCGGCACCGAAAATATTTCTGCACGTAGTGTGGTTTTGCACTGCCCACAATATTGAAGCCAATGCAAGTTTTCCGTACCCCACTTGCTTTCGGAATCGGCCCACCTATGACCAAGTGACAATGCCACATGGTGACGACATCATGTGGTGTCACATTTTGTGACGTTACTGTGATGTCACAATGATGTTATTAGATGATGTTATCATATGATGGTTATTTTTTGCATCGCTCGTGTTGGTGCCGACGGCAAATTGCCGCTCGTCACTTGGCATCGAGAGCTTCCACTTCAAATAGAATGTTTGAGATGAACGTGTTGGCCATCGGTCGATTGTCATAGCTTCCGACTCTGCTTTCGCTCTCTTCTCCGTCACCAGGACCTGGTACAGATGGTGAATGCCGACCAGCCGCTGTGGCTGGTGGGTCTGACCGAGATGACCCGCACGCTGGGCCTGGAGCTGGTCGAATCCATCCTGGCGTCGTTTCCGGAAGCGTTCCTGCGACACCCGGAGTTCCGATTTCTGCTCAAGGAGCGTGTTTGTCCCCTGGTCATCAAGTTGTTCTCGCCCAATGCCCGGCAGGCACCCGACCGGCCCTTCTTCCCCATCTCCATGCGTCTGGTGCGAGTCGTCTCCGTCCTCATTCACCGATTTTACGGGACCCTGGTGAGCTGCCTTTCACATTATGGCGAGGCCGTATTTGATTTTTGTTGTGTTACATGCTAAAGTGCCACATTAGATCAGTTTAGATGGATAAATTACTCCTTGAGAATGGTGTTGTCATACTTCTGAATATTACTGTACAGTTCAGACCGCTTACAATATAACCGCTTATAGTGCATGGCTTGTTATGACGCGGTCTTTTTTTAAAGTCTCGTTCACCCTCCCATAGAAACCCTTGTATAAGCATACTGCTTATTGTGCAGTCCCTCAAAGTAAATGGCCGATTATAACGCGTTTGCTAGAAAATCTTTTGACAAATGCAGTAGCGGGTGCAATTCTCAAAAGAGATGCGCCGCTGGGGAGAGAGCGATGAGGCTGTGATGAAAGACGACGGGACTTGGGAGTGAATTAATGAAGGGCAGAGTGAGGAGAAAAGGAAAAAAAATGTAAGCAGTTTGCATTAAGTTGTGCAAAGTTTGGCACAATGAAGCATAGGCCCTTTGCCACTCGTACTCCACGTCGACCAACACGTGTAGCTTCCTCCTCGAGAGTTGGCATTTTCGTCGGGCGTCCCATGACTCTCTGAACATGATTTATTTGTATTTCTAAGTTTCTCTCTCTCTCTGTTTTTCTCTTCCTCTTTCATTCCTTTCTTGCTCTATTTCTTTCACTCTCTTTTTGTTTTTGTGCAACCCACCTCTGATAAATGTATGGGCACATCATCATTGGCATAAGCCTTTCATTGCTTCGGAGTTTTCTCGCAGTTGTCGTTGCCTTTCGTATCGTGCGTGCTGCTCGTGGATCAGTGCTTGAGTGCGATCTTTTTCACACCTGACCAAGTTGTCTTTGATGAATTGTTTGCAACAACACGCCAACCCATAGGCTAAGCCTAATCAGCGTTGGTTGCTTTTTCAGTAGTTGTCGGCGATGAAAGTTGTGGTTTTAGTACATAATCAACAAAATCTTTGTGGTGGCTACACTTGAAGGGAAAGGAACCATATCATTGATGAAAATGAGGGCGTGGGTGGCATGTGTAACAACTGAATGGTGGTTTGTGGTTTGACTGCAATGTCTTGGTGATTGGGTGCATGCCCGTCAAACAGGGGCAGCGCCAGCATGGGGACATGAGTGGCAGTAGCTCCCACAGTTTTATCCTGCCCCTCTTTGCCCCCCCCCCCCCCTTGTAGTAAAAAATAGTCATAACGCAACAAATGTTTCTTCCTTCCCTGTTTCCCTCATAGAGATTCGCTTGCCTTCTTGATCTCATCTGTCCGCCTAACTTTGTGCCTTACCCTTGTGCGCTTGCCTTCTCTCGGAATCCAGTCCCACTCTTAGCCCAGTCCTAATGACCATTGGTTAATAACAATGGGCTACGGTATGGAACAAAGTTCTCAAGGTCATGATGTGCGGGGAATCCACATAACTTTGCTCATACTTGAAAAATTCTAGAAATTTTTGTCGCAGTTGATTCATGAGGATTTGAACTTTCTTCATGAAGTCATTCAATGATCTCTACTTGAAAAAGTGTTGCAAGACTTCTCTATCCGTCCCATGATATGTGCTACTTGTCAGTTTCTTGTTTGGTCTTCTGCTTGCAGGTGACCGAGTGCGAGATCTTTCTCTCACTGGTTGTCAAGTTTCTAGACCATGAAAAGCCAAACTGGCAACGCACACTAGCTTTGGAGGTCTTGCACAAGCTGTGCTCACAGCCCGAACTTCTCAAGTAAGCACTCTGCCAACTCGCACAATATTTCATCATAAGTGCAGTTGAAAGTAGTTTTTACTGTGATTGACAGCTTAAACCTAGAAAACAAGATTTCTCTTTATGTTACATATGTAACATAAAACATCATGCTTATTTCATGGACAGTGGCATAGCCTAGGAAGAGGAGTTTGTAGGGTTTGAACTCCCTAAATATTTTGTTTTGTATGTGCATAGATAGGTGCATATGTACCAACACACACATGAACATACATTAAAGGATATAGAACCCTTCTCTTGTCCTTAAGAAAATGTCTAACGATACTTTTGTTTATGAATGTTTGCTTCTGTAAAGGGGAATTGAAATGTGATGTGCAGATGTGATTTGGAATGGATAGACTCCAGAATCTGACTGATGCAGAAGGTGCATAGTTGAAAGTTAGAGACTACTCTTGCTAGTGTAAATAAGTTACAGAGGAGGGGGTACATGAATTGCATTACATGAATGTCTGTGTCCTCAGAATTTGTAACAGTTGTTACGATCTGTGTTCAGTGTTTGTGAATGTCAGTTCTGTTTGTTTATACCATGATATCCTGTAACGGTGGTTACGATTTGTGTTCGGTGTCTGTCGGTGTCAGTTCTGTTTGCTTATACCGTGACATCCCGGTGGATACCATTGTATTCTGTGATGCCGATCAATATCTCTTTAGAACTTTGTTTGAAGCACAGAGGGAAAGAGTAGCAGTTTAGTGGGTGACGCTGTCTAGGTGCTAAAACGGCGCTGGCCCTAGCGTTCAGATGGACCCGATGTTTCCGAACCCATTCAGCCCTTTCCGCAGGTGTTGACTGTATCAGGGTTACTGTGTAGGTGTTGAATGTATAAGGGTTGATTAGAGCTTGCACTGAACTTTTTAATATTGTCAGCGGCTGCAGCATGCTTTCCCTTTTGGCCTCATTCCTGCAGGAGCTTTGTCGAGAGCTACGACATGAAGGACCACAGCACCAAGATCTTCCAGGACATGGTCAACGCCTTGGGTGCGTACGTGCAAGCACTCTTCGTGAGTGCCCCGTGCCACCACCATTATCATCACGGCGGAGGAGGCGGTGGCTCCAGTGGTAACGCGCCACCCCCTGCGGTACCACTCGCCTCCAGCGCACCTGGAAGCGGCAACGCGTCCTCGATTGCCCAGCCGCCCCAGGCGGCCTTTCTGTACCGCGGCGTCTGGATGCCCCTGCTTCCGCACGTTGCCACTCCCGGCATCTGCAAGGCCACATAGTGAGTGCACGTCGAAGTTTCGTCTCCCCATTGGTCTGGTGTGTGCCGATTGCTATTAGAAAAGTCTGCTGTGGTGAAAGTCGGCATTTGGTACCACTTCCCACCTGACGAGATGATGGCATTCATGGAAGGAAATGACTGCCGTTGCAGAGGAATATGAGAGCAGCTCCTGGTGTCACAGAGCACAATCGAGACTGCAAATTGGGCTAGTTGGATTGGGTTCATGGCGGGAAGGAAACCAGTATAAACATGGGGACAGTAATGCTCGTGTTGTTAATTTCTTTTGTCCCTGTGTTTGCACTGGTTTTCTTTCCACCAAGAACATAATTTGCCAGTGCCAAATCGAGATAAGATGGAGCAATGTAAATACAAGACATATGCCATTTGCTGGGGGTGTTTTCACTGGCATTTGTATTGCATACACCTTCTCAGTTAAGTCTGAAGTGTACATCTCCATTAGTTTTATCTATAACGCAACATCCGATAGTAATTGCCTGATGCAAGCCTGAAATGGAGGTGGTGTTTCAGAGTGAAAATGCAATGAATAAGACCATGTCAGTTTCACTGTGCACTATAGAGCCACATTCATATGTTTATAAAAAAAAAAAAAAAAACACACGCAGGAACAACACAGGTACTGTGTGGGAAAACATACTACTCTGACGTCGATATAACAAACATAGATATAACGAAATATCAGTTACAACAATGTAAATACAAAATAGTCTTGCAATACATACAGTGTTAAAAATCAGCTTCATAACAAGTTTTTGGATATAACGAACTTATTTTTGTGTACAATGCAACTTTGTTAGATTGAGGTTCGAGTGTATCCAGATTCACGGAAACATCGCCCAGTTTCGCTTGATAATGACATCACAAGCGCTGGCACCGGGGACATTGTACGGAATTAGAACGTACCTACGAGGTTCTATTGTGATTCCATAGCCACTGACTCGCGGCAATGGGTCCAGTTTCCTCTGAAAGGGAATGTCTCGCTCTCTGGCGCGTTCCTCAGCATGGAGATGCTGGATCGTGTGGAGCCTCCCGTGGTCGCCGAGGGCTACGGGGTGTCCCTGGGATACGTGTGCCTCCTGGACGTTGTGCAGAGCATTGCCACCGTGGTGAACCAGTCCAAGGGTGCCACGGCGAACGACTCTGCCGCCAACCTGCGCCTGCACCGTCAGCTGGTGTCCTCCTCTTGGTGTGGGCTGCTGGCAGCCCTCTCACTCCTCCTCGATGCCAGGTGGTCATTGTTCATCTTCATAGCGGTTGGGTGCCTCACCAAATGCTTATCGAGACAAAAGTCTTACACACGGCATATGTCGTATGTTGCTAAATCGAAGGAAAATATTGTTACTAGTATCGGTCTTGACAAGTGAGATCAATGACTGGTCGTATGGTGCACCAAATATCCTCATAAGCTTTAGCCTTGGCTCATAGGCGGTACTGCCTGTGAGCCTGAATATTGATTGAATATATTAAGTTTCAATTTGAAATGATGATATGTCCGACTTGTCATCTTAAATAGGCTTGTTCAAAGGTTGAAGTGAATAGTAATTCTGGCAGAATAATTCCATATCGAATTGGAATTGTATATACCACGTATTATGAAGAAAAATTGGTATATGTGTCTTGATTACAAATAACCCGCACAATAATTAAAAAAAAATTGAACTAAGGCCTGTGCAAATGCCATTCTTTTTGGTTCAAGAAAAGCAAAAACGACTTTCAATAGTAGCTGGTTTTGACTTTCGGTAGAATGTAAGTGATAACCAGTAAACTATGTCATGTTTTAAAATTTACCATACTTTGAGAAAATAAGCTGGCATAAGAACTTTGAAAATGATGAATCGGTGCAAAGGTAATCTGTTCATTTAATCACCTTTACAAAAGATTACGTGCGAGTTAATAATGTACATCGTGAACTTACTTACAGCGCAACACCAGAAAAAATACAGGACAGGGAAGGAGTAAAAGAGACAGCGCCGTCTTTTCTTTCTCTTTTACTCCTTCCCTGTCCTGTATTTTTTCTGGTGTTGCACTGTAAGTAAGTTCACGATGGATCCTAACCAACTGGCCCAACTTACCGTCTTACTATAATAATGTACACCTGAATAGGTGCTTTCACGGCTTAGCACTATTTTACTGCAGTGAAACAACCTTTGCAGAAGCGGTTATATGCGGCCTAATAAAACCTATTCATTCATTTTGACTTCGAAATTTTCAACAATTTAAATTCAAATCGAAGTGAATTCAAATACAAAGATATTCGTTCGATTATTCGAAGCATCCAAATATTCACACAAGCCTAATCTTAGAGCACTTTTGCAGTGCTAAGAACTTGTGGAAGACAGCGACGAAGCGTTAGTGTTAACCATTCATTTGTCTCTCATGTAACGTCATTTGACTGGGTGTACATATTTTAAGAGCAGCAGTTGTATCAAATATTCTAAACAGAACTTTCTTCTTCAACAGTAGAATCTATTCTGCCGTTCTTGGTACATTCCGAAATGACGGCATCATCAGTAATTGATAAACTGTTTGAACGTTGTTGTTCTCACATGTTCACATACAACTTTACGTGTCACTTGAGACCAAATGGCTGATTGGATGAGTTGATTCATGCAACTTGCAAACATGAGTGCATAACTTAATGGAGGACTATAGCAAGACAAGCAGTCGTCTTTCCGTAGTTCTTGCGCGAGTCTTTTTTGCCGTTTCAAACCTGATAATTTTTTTTGTTGTCATTGGAAAGCTTCTAGTCATCATATTTCGATGTTGTGTTGTTTGAAATGATTGCAGCACGGACGAAGCGGCCACGGAGGAGATCTTAAAGACGATGCAAGCGTACGCCAGCCTGTGCGGCCAGCTTCAGATGTCGACGCCCCGGGATGCCTTCATCACAGCCATGTGCAAGGGCTCCCTGCCACCCCACTACACATTAACAGTGAGTTTGTTCAGCCCATGCAGTCCGGACTGGGAAGTGTGGACCCTGAAGTGAATGACTTGTAAGGTCGACATGCATTTAAAGTAATGTGCAGACCAAACTTGGCAGTAAGAAAATTGCAGTGACTTGAATAATTTTTGCTATAATGAGTAGTGAGTGTAGTGTATTATTTTTGCATCCTGGTAACTTAGAAGTGTAGCAAATTTTTGAGCAGCCATACTCACAACAGAATGACATGGTTATCATGAGCAATTGTTCATAGCAGTTTTTATGCTTAAAAAACAGAGATAAATTGCGCCGCATTTTAGTTTGTGAATGCTGTACTCCAACGGGCATGGCTGACTTGCAGAGGTGATCGACATGTTTGATTCTCAGTTTTGGGGGTGAATCTCGCACCAAACAGTTAGATTGTCACTGTGCTTACTTACCGCCCAAGGCTCAGTCAATGTCATCTTGCTCCCTTTCAGGTGCTAAACGCCACATTCCCCAAGGCGTCGGCGTCTCCGCATCCGCGGGGCGACGGCTCTTCTGAGAGGCCAGGGTCCACAGGTCAGGGCGGCTCTTCTCCTGTACCTCTCCCACAGCAGGGCCCCAACCTGGGTCCCTTCCTCGGAGGTCCCGGGTGCGACCCCCACGACGCTCCTCGACAGCAGGTGGTGGCCGTGGGCACGCCTTTGCCTACACCTTCGCTCGGGGGACATCAGGGACCCGTTATGGTGAGCAAGAGACAACACCTGTATTGCTAACCTACTTTTCAGCAGCGGACCTGTAAGTCAAGCATCTGCCAGTCTCTATGCCTGTCTGGCGTCACACAGGTCATATGACCGATAGGTCGAGTGAATAAATAGAACAAAATGATGATGATCAAGGTACTCAAAATGATGATGATAATGTTCAGAATGCTTGAAATGATTATGATGAGGTCGTGAATGAGACTAAGCTGGCTTAGTTACCCTCACCTGCACTCGCATGCTTACACCTTCACTGTCCGCCCGTTTCTACTTCTTAGAATTGGCTGAGATATTGTACCAAGATGACCGATTACTTTGACAAGGTTGGCAATCAGGTTACGGTCACAAGCAATCACTTACTCTCTGGTATCTACGGAGTGTCAGGTAGGTCTGTGGCATTGTACATGGGGCCTAACAAAGGGGGGAGGGCCTTATTGCTACTAAAAGCAAGCTCTTTTATGCGAGGTTGCGAGCTTCATGGTGCATGTAACAGAATAACATTTGGCTACTTTGTTATGGTCATATCGTCGACAGATTGCTTATGTTTTCTTACTATGAAAAGCGATGCAATGCCCCTTGAAGTCAGTAAAGAAGGACACCATGTGGTGAAGATCGATAGCCTGGTGCAGTGGCTCTTAGCCATGTATTTTTCGGGCACCCCTTGTGGACTGCTAGACCGGTGGAAGCAAGAGAAAGCGGGGGTCATGGGTAAGGGTAACATGCGACATGGAACTTGAAACAGATGCACTTGTTTCCTACATGGCAAAGAACAGTCAAAGTAAACTGCCACGCCAATTTGATCTCAACAGCTTGCTAAATGGCTGCATGGTCTGAAGTCACAGTCAGGCTGTTTCCGGCTATGTTTTCTTTTCAGGTATGCAAACTTGGAAAAGCATGCCATGCATATCTCATAAGAAACTGCAACAAAATCTTTATAGCCATATCATCGAGAAGGGGAAACATACATCAGCTCCACAGAAATGCAAAGGTGTCATGTGGTGAAGCAAACTAGAAATAGGAAGTGGTCGTCACAGAACTATGTGGCTCCAAGAAACTGGTTTTTTTTTTTTCCTGAGCATGGGTTTCGCAGGCCCCCAAATTAGCTTTGTGCTTCCCCATTGAGTGATGGCACAAGTGGGTTACTCTTGGGAAATTAAAGAAGTGGCTTGATGATTTGTACATAGCACTGTGAGTCGTGCCTTTTTCGTTAAAGTACAAAAAACTGGGTCGCATGCTACAATCAGTGATATATTGCAAAAAATTAAGTGTATGCTACCGTCGAGGTCGTGGTGGAACCGAGTGACTGTAGAGCGTGCATGCTTTGTCTCGGTGTGCAGCTGACGGCCAAGAATCTGCAGTGCATGCGTGCCATTCTCGGGCTGGCGCAAGCCCACGGTGCAGTGCTGGGCAGTGCGTGGCACCTGGTTCTCACCACGCTGCAGCACCTGGTCTGGATCCTGGGCCTAAAACCGTCCACAGGTGGCAGCCTCAAGGCTGCTCCCAAGAATGGCTCGGACGGCACGGCGGCCGGCGGCGGCACCAACTCCTCTTCAGTCATCACCACGGCTGTCATGGCCGACCTGCCCGTGCTGTCTGCCATGTTGTCGAGGCTGTTCGAGAGTTCCCAGTGAGTGGAGATCGGTGTGCTGGGCGACATGCTGAATCGTGCTGGCTAGGCCCAAGGGGAGGGCACTGCTCTTTCAGATCTTTCTAAAAATTTATCAGTTTTGATGAAACTTGCGGTGGTTGTGTACGTTTGTGGGCCGATTTCAACTATGCAACTATTTTTGTAGTACATGATGTCATTACTAGAATATCGAACAATTTAAGTGCATTTTGAGAGAGGCTTTCTCCCGAATCCTAAAGTGAAGAATTTGCAAAGTAAATTAGCATATTAGAATTAGTCTGGAATGAGAACTGTGTGCTACAGTTTTAACAAAAATGTATCTTGTAAATGCACTTGAACTAAAGTTATGATAACTTAAAACATTATCCATTGCGCTCATGTTTAGGTGGAATTTTAATAATAATTGTTCAATAGGCTGTAACTTTTTTAAAATGGGCTTGGAATATCCACTTTTGTTTTCTTCCGTGCAGTTATCTTTCCAGATTATTCTGATGGGCTGGTCTACATTGTGACTCTACCGACTTACAAAAAAAAAGAATTCTCCCAAGAAGCACTTACAATGTTGGATATTTTAAAAACTACTCATTATACTTGAAAAGTAATATCATATTTGAAATCAGTACAAACGTAAACATAATCTCAGCAAGTTTATTCATAACTAATCAAGCATGTTGAAAAAGTTTTAAAGTGTAGTGTCCCCTTGTAATGTTATGGCAGTGTCCAACAAATTGCACCAGTGAGCACTGGGGTGCCCAGGTTGTGCTCTGATTGAATGAAACACCATGCCATGGTACACTGGTGTGATTTTGTGAACATGCCATTAGGCTTTTGAGACGTAAGCAGCTCTTTTCAGTTTTGAATGAGACTGCTGGAAAAACGCACGAAGAGGACAATCAACAGCGAAGCGTGCAATTCATTTTTGAATAATTTAGCCTGTTGCACAGAAGTATTGAGATATACTTCGAGAAAGTAGAGGCAGTGTACTTGATGGTGTGTGCTACTAGACGGAAATCTCAATATAATGAAGCAGGATATAACGAAATACCTATTATAACAAAGTAAATGAAGAATAGTTTTGCAATAGATAGTGTTATGAATATAAAACTACCTTTCTAACAAATGTTTTGTTACGTATAACGAACTTATCTTATTGTAATATGCAACTTCATTATCATGAGGTATGAGTGTACTCCATTTCAATAGACTTGTGGGTGTACCTCATATTACCACCAATGGCAGTAGAGGCAAGTTTGCACAAAATAACAGGCTAAAAGAGCAATGATAACTATGTGTCACGTAACCGTCCATGATAAGCTAATAAGTTCCTGCTTTTCGGTTCTTGTTTTTGTTGAACATGAGCTTATGAAGGCTGGGTGGATCTTACCGTCAAAATAATTCATTGCAGCGTGGTTATGTTTGTACGTGTCGTGGCAGTGTTCTGTTTACATGATATTTTCTCGTGATCTTTCTGTTTGTTGGTGTTCTTTACCGGTTGTGAGTGCTTAAAGGGCCCCTAAACCGCTCGAAGTTCAAAGACAAATGAATGGTTTCTTTCTCGCCTCCACTGTTGCAGGTGCTATATCCTCCTTATCATTCTTTTCTTCGTCGAACATGTGGAGAGTGTCGGGCATAGGCATTGAGCCTGTGAAGATCTGGCACTTTTCAGCTACATGTTGCTATCTCTGCACGCGCAGTCAATAACGCCTAAAACAGTGTGAAATTCGTTGATTGCACGTGATAGTGATTAGAGGCAAAGCGGAATGGGCGTGCAACTGCAGGTTGTATCATGGTAGGTGATAATTCACCACTGAAATCCCTCGTGTATGGACCAATCGAGAGCTTATTCCCTCATTAGGTTACGAGAACAGGCTGCTGACATTGCGAACTGAGCCGAAAGGTGGGGAATGCCAGGAGAGAACAGCTCGCTCATTCTTAGTGTGTTCAGGGGTTGTTTAGGGGCCCTTTCATGTGTGTTTTGTGTCTCTGTTTGACAAGTGTCTGTGACTTATGTCTTCTTTTCGTCTTCCCTTTTCCTCCTCCCCGACCTCTTTTCCACTGGCTCCACCTCTCTTTCTCTCGCCTCGTCTGGATCGTCGACGCTTCTCCAAATACCCTCTTTTATTTTCCCGACTTTCCGAAACAAACTGTCCGGCCTGTGCCCGTCTCTTTCTTTCTTTCTGGAAATGAAACACCCTCTCCCACCAACACGTGCGGAAACGCTCGGTTGACACCTCAGCTACGTGCCGCTGGCTGGCACGCTGTCACGCGTCTTTCACAATTCTCAGTAAGTGTGACCTTGTCATCTCTGCTGTGAATCTCGCTTCCTGTTCCGTTCTCATTCGTTTCATCTTTTTTCTCGTCCTTGTCTTCCTCTGTTCTCTTTCTCATTCTACTTTTTTGGTTTCATTTGCGTCTTTGGTTTTGTGCAGTTGTTATCTGCATTAAATTTATTGTGCTTTTGTGCATTTGGTTCAAGTTGGTAGAATAAACAGAAGTCACTCAGATTTGCTCATGAAGCGTACCTCTATAGTCTTAAACACTAAACCGACTTCTTATGCGAAAGCTGCAGGTTCGACTGCTGCCGTGGTGGTTCAAAGAACACTAGATAGTCTAAATTTCTGGAGCCCTCTACTAGGCTGCCCTATAATCATATCGTGACTTTGGCTCATAAAACTCCCGAAGGTATTATTACTAAGCCAACTTCCCAAGTTGAATAATATAAAGGCCAGAATCGGCCATATTTTTGGTGTACAGGCTCAGTCCGTTTCTGTGACCAGTGTGGTGTTTTTTTTGGTAAACATTGGCCCTGCATTTCGTGGATTGGGGCCTAGCTTGAACTTGCCCAAGTCCGAATTAACCAAGCCCACTCACGCTCCTCTTGTTTAGTCCTGCCTGTGTATCTTGTCTGTTTTGTGCTTCTAAAGGCATGTTTGCGCTAGAGCAACACAACATCGATTTTGGCCTGCCGGCTGTCTTTGGGAGCATCCTTTGTCTTGTCATCGTCGGATTTACACTTCAACAATGCAAACAGTCCGCCGATGCTCTCTGGAAGACTCCGTCTGCACCTTGTCGTGCTCACAGCCTTTCGTTGCCCAATTCTTCAGTCACACAGGGCGACACGGGCTATACTTGCACACCTGCTCATCATCTTCAGCCATGCTCCCTGCTCTGCCATTGTCTCTCTTGAGCTATGTGGCACAGCCCCCACCATACGTGACGACGTCGAGGGACCTGGTTGGGGACACACAAAAGAGGAGCGAAGAAAAGGATTCAGGGGGGTTCGCAAGATGCCTATTCAAACGCCATGGTGGCCTGCAGCTGCAAGGCCTCGTTATCTCCACCAAGATCTCTCTTTTTGTCGTCGTCATTTGAAGCAAAGACATGTTCAAATTTCCGCTCAACCACATATCCCTCGATGACACGCCGACAACAGGTCTGCAAACGTGTTTTGCTGGTGTTTTCGGTCTTCCATCATGTTGCACTACAATGACGTGCTGTCTTTTGAGGCATCGTTGTCCTCATCAGCCTAGTGTGACCAGACGGCGTGGCAACTTAGTTGGCGGATGACTCGTCTGCCGACAGTCTGCGTCTGTCTCATGTTGAGGTCGTGTCACTGTCGTGTCGCTCTAGTATAAGCGCGCTTCAAAGGGCCACTCACCAGGCCCCATACTGAATTTTAGTTAGGCAGTGGAAGTTGTTGGGCGTTCGATGAGAAACGTATTGCCACAAAAATTTTTGGAATCGTTTCATTACGATCAGAGAAAACAGGTTTCTTGAAGCGGTGCGAAACGAGGGTGAGAGGAGACGAGCTCGAAACCCTTGCCGCTCCTCCGCGTAGCCTTCGCAAGCCAAGCCTCTTCCCCACCCTCTCCGGCGTCCGACCAAAAGGTGACGTTCGCATGACGGGCCCGAACAAGCTCAGCCCCCGTGAAAGCGAGCGGCGTTGCTTTGTTGACCAGCGTTATTTTGTGGTCTCCTGCCTGTTTCTGCGGGATTGTTTGGAAACGCTGGCTTAGACGCGGTAGAATACATGAGCACAATGAGTGCGCCAACGCGCAGGAGCGTTCCGCAGCGGTCGTCTGCTCAATGCGCTGACCGAGAGAACCAAAACGAATGCGAAACTCTGGCACATTAGCCCCGCATCTTGTAGCATTTCACGGGGAAAAAAATGTAAGAAAAATGTGCACAATTTCTTATTGTGTCTCATTATTAATTTCAAGTTTTATTCATCTTTTAAAGCAACAAATACATAAACTACGCGTGTTGTGTTAAATAATTTTTGCCATGTCACGTGGTACACTGTTGACAACGTCAGAGTAGAGTCATCTATGTAGAGGACCAACGTGACCGCAGTGCTGCGTACGTAGGGTCATTCCTACGCCCACGTCATGCCCTCATTCTCTACGCGTGCGCCGGTAGAGGGGAGGGCGAGCAGCTTTCATCTTGAAATTTGACCCATTTCCGCGGCCCGTAGCGTTGCAAATTTTGGCAGACGTGATCATGAACGCCTCGTCTATGCATTGCGCTTGTCAGCTCAAAATTGTCAAACCTGGTTAGTGGCCGTTTAAGTACCTTCATGGATATCTACAAACTCAGCTAATTTTTTGTGCTAAGTGACACAAACAGGTTTTCTCACACTCAACTATGACTGTCTCAAATTTACGGACTCAAGGGCTCCCTCAAACGGGCAGGATCATTGTCTCGACCTGGATACGATTATAGTCGGATTCACTTGTATCCACATGCATTTAAACTTTCACAAAACAATGTGGACTTGAAGCAATCACTAAAAGACCTGGTTATAATTATTCTTGAACCTGCTCAACATCAGAGCACTTCTGATTTGCTGTGCATACCTTTGGCTCACAGTCATGTCTAATTCAACTACTTGAATGGCCCTTAGAAAAATGGTAGGTGTACCTTAAGAGACAAGAAGAGGGCAGAGTGGATTAGAGAACAAACGGGGCTTAAAGATATCATAGTTGAAATGAAGAAGAGGAAATGAACATAGGCCAGGCATGTAGCGCGTAGACAGGATAACCACCGCTAAGGGTAACTAACTGGATTCCCAGAGAAGGCAAGCGGGTTAGGGGGAGACAGAAGGTTAGGTGGGCAGATGAGATAAAGAAGTTTGCGGGTATAAATTGGCAGCAGCAAGCACAGGACCGAGTTGACTGGCGGAACATGGGAGAAGCCTTTGTCCTGCAGTGGGCGCAGTCCGGCTGCTGCTGCTGCTGCTGCTGCTGATGATGATGGTGATGATGCTGATTGACTTACACTTATGCGGCTTATCCTTTGCTAACTTATACTTGGACTCACTTGGTGCTGGCTTCAATGACTCAATCTTAGCGAGTCTACATGTGAGTTGGTTAGTGCGTGCTATCGATTAACATAATACCTTAGCATTAACATCATACCTTAGTGATCACCAAAAGCATAAACCAAAAGCTTAAAAAAAAACAAAACAAAAAGATACAGTGCCATTGACCCTTCTTTCTGTCAATATCTTTTTGTTTCATAATCTCCATAAAAATATCAGTGTGTTACTTGTACGTATTATATTTTTCCTGTTTTTTGCTCTTTTTGATTGCATGGTTCCTTTCAGGGAGCAGTGATGCTAACCCTTTCGAAGCTTGACATTTTTAAAATGTAGCTGTATTTCTTTGGACAATTAAGACATGTTATATATATCTTTCACATCTGCAGGAAATAATTGTCCAGATTTCATTCTAGTGATTGCTGTGCTTGCTTACCCACTGATAACCCTTATGTCTTTTCATTTCACATTTCAACGTGATTGAGCCGTGACTGAATCAGGGCACTTGGCTTATGCTAACATTTAATCTTTTCTGTGCAAACACATTTAATCTTTGTGCAAAAGGTATTACTGGATGAAGATGTTTAGCAAAGTTGATATTTTGTTTGTTAGACCACTCTCAAGTATAAAACTGATGCTGTCAAACCTTGATGTAATGAAGGTGAACGCAGAAAATATTTCGATGTAACATAATAAGGTCGTAGTATATGAGGTCTAAGGAAGGTATTTCAGTGATCGAGTTCAACCTTATTATCGGTGGTTTTTCTGAAAACACACAAAGCTTAAGCTTCCAGGCTTGGCTGCAGTGTTTGACTGTCTTTATTGAAAGACCATCATACTTGCGAGGCTGTATGTCAAATGTCCTATTTACGCGCACAGGTACCTGGACGATGTTGCGCTGCACCACTTGATCGACGCACTTTGCAAGCTTTCAACTGAATCGATGGAGCTGGCCTACAACAACAGAGTAAGGAAACGTCCTTTGACACGTACATTCTTTCGTGTCCTATGTTATATTTAGTACACACTTGTACTATAGGATGCAGTCTGTGCTCATTGGCATACCTTCATGCATTGCCCTGCATTACAGCCTGAGTGAGTGCCACAGCTTGCTTAAATGAAGAAAGTGCACGCAGTACTGCAGGCTTGCTAGTGGAAAGCCTTCAATGCCTCATGAAAACACGAAAATTGACCGTCGCCGGCCGCCTCCTGTCGCATTGGTGTTATCTTCAGTGATTAAAAAAAATCATCTTGGAATGGACGTCGTCATGGCGTCACATACGAGATTAAATGTGATGATGGAATTGCACAACATCATCGTTTAGTCAGAGCCGGGCTAATCACAGAGGCACTGATGAACCAGGTGAAGTGCATGCCTCCGGTATTGGAGGCACTGCAAAACCACGGTAGTGGGGTAGTATAGTGGGAGTGCTTTCACCCCTGTAAAGCTGTTTGCACCTCGTGGTGCACACGTAACTCGCGGATGTGCAGCATTTGAGGTTAGAAGCCACTGAGCGGTAGGTAGCGCAGTGCTCGCGAGAGTTCACCATCATAATCACCATCATGGTTGGCACGGTAGCGCCAGCAGTGATGCCTGGCGGTGCGACTAAATGGCCGGACAGAAAATATTGGAGGGTCTCTTTGACGTGTGGCTGCTAATGCGAAGGGGTGCCTCCACGCGGCAGCTCCTAGGGGACGGCGCTGCGGTCTGTTTCTCGTGGGCCCATTATGGTGAGTCGAGTGTTGGCGATGCCGCCTTTGCGTTACCTTGTTTGTTGTTATATTGTCGAGTGTATTGGAATATTGTATAAGGTTGTGTTTTAGCGTGTTGATCACTAGCGATGTATTTGATCCGGCTGGCGATATCGTCGATGTAAAGGTAATTGAATAAATGTACGCGACGTTTGGTTTGGTTCGACGGTGTCATCTGTGTCCTTGTGATCCGAGAGCGGTAATCTCATTTCGAGACCACACAGTATCAATACATCGACTGAGATAAAAATGAAGATGACGTTCGCCATTGAGTTGTCTTAGGCTAATGCATAAAGACCCAGTGAGTTTCGTTTATTATACAGAATGTGTCGCATTCGAAAACGGGACAATTCACTTGGCATTGTTGGCGCAGGAGCCTTCGCTGTTTGCCGTGGCCAAGCTGCTCGAGACGGGTCTGGTGAACCTGGGTCGCGTCGAAGCCCTGTGGCGGCCCGTGACCCAGCACCTGCTGGAGGTGTGTGCTCACCCGCACACACGCATGCGTGAGTGGGGTGCCGAGGCGCTCACCTACCTCGTCAAGGCAGCCCTCAACCACTCGCCCAGCGGAGGAGGTGGAGCCGGCGAGGCAACGACGGCCTCCTCCGTTGTGACAGCCGCTGCCATGGCGGTTTCATCGTCGGCATCTGACGACGCAGCAGTGCCGGTTCATGCAGGTGAGTTTCACTGGCTCTTCTCACCGTTTTGTATTTATGCTCTAGTCTTATATTTAAATCGCTGTTTCATACCAAACAACGCCTTTGACCATAGTGTCCCCCATAGTTGTCGTAATTAACTAGAGGAAACTCTGGCGCTGCGATCGTTCAGCGACCGTGGGAATGGGGGGTAGTACACGAAGGTGCCCAGTCTTTGTGCTTACAGGCCTCGAATGTACTTGCGGCTTCGTTTATTGCAGTGTTTTTGTTTTTGTTTCGAATGAAAGAATGGAAGGTTATGAACTTCGAAAGCAGATTTGAAATGGTGAGCATAAAAGGTTGATGTGGTGAGGGGCAACTGCTGATCATTTGCTGATTGTTGTTTGGTGACAAATCAGCTCCAAGCCATGCAAAGCCAAACATAGCCGAAAGTACGAAGATCAGACAAATCGGTGTACCACCCATCATTCCCATGCTCGCTGAAGCGCCGTGTCTTGCAGCTCCCACGGACACAAGCACCAGAGCTTCCTCTAGTGTATTTATAGGAAGCTCTGTGGTGTGCCCTACATGAATTACTAGAGTAGATAGTCAAACCTGAACGTTTCACATTGAAAAAGCTGAGCAAAGTAGATAGATGACCATCCGAAGCTTGTCTAAAACACCACATGTCTCATGCGGTCTCTTTTGTGATAGTGAAAAATGGGAATTTATAGATTTGTTTTTCTGATGCTGCATTGAAGGCACGAAGTCGTATGCTGCTGTAAGATGGTGCACTGCCGACTAGGATGAAACCCATTCAGGATAAAATTTCTCAGCTATCTTTGGCAGCTTGCATAAATAAGCCAAGCATGATCAAAGGAAAAGAAATAGAAGTTTATGGACTCGTTGATCTCTGTTAGACACAGTATCAATGAGAACTAACATAATCAAGAAATTTGATGTGCATCAAACCAGATTGCAGTCAAAGGTGACCATGTGATGCAGGCAGGTGACCATGTGATGCAGGCATTATAAATTTTAATCCATGCCTTCTTGTGGGATGTGGATATTTTATAGGGAAGTCTTTCTGCAGTTTAAACAGTATTGGGGTTCTCTTACCAATAATGAACAATCGCAGCTAGTATTCTTCACTGAAGTTCTTCTAAGTATTTTTCACCGCATCACACAGCTGTGCTGTGCTGAAGCTAACAAAAGTAAATTCGTTGTTGCAGAAAGATTCCTAACTGCATGAGTCATCCACATTTTGAGACCCTCATTTCCCATCAAGGCTCACACTGTCCTCCAGGTTCTATGTGCTTTCTGACAGCACCTACCGAACGATGCCGCATCATTGGTGTGAATGTTTTAAACGATGCCAGTGACAATGAGTAAGCTAGGAATTAAGATCAGCATGTCATAGCATTCGTTGTATCGAATGTGAACGTCAACAGTTAGTGGGAGTTCGATGCATGTATTGCGTACAATGCTATACTATTGCACAAAATTTTCTTGAGGGAACGTTGCTGCTGTTTGACATGGTCCAGTAGTTTAACGCACTCGATCTCAGCTTTATTTTTGAGTCTGTTTGACACCCAACAGTGCTTTCAAAGAATGTCTGTGGTTCTGATGGTTTGCAATGTGCGTGTGGGGACTGAAAGCTGCGAACTCTTGCCGTGCATGGCGTCCTCAGCGACGGCATCGCGGAGGAGCTTGCAGGTGCTGCTCTTGGCACCCCTCGTGGAGATGGCGTCCGCTCACCCCGACATCCGACAGAAGCAGCTCGACTGCACCCTCTCCCTGCTGCACAGCAACGGCGAGACGCTTACCCACGGATGGCCCCAGGTACATTCCTTCTTTGCTTCAATGCGTTTGTGTGTTAGCCAACATCGACGAAAGCAAAGGAATAAAACAAGTTGACAAATTCCTGGCAGTACCACGTCATTAATTCTAAATGCAACGTGTCTCCCTGACTGTGGATTTCCTCCTGGTTTGTTACTGCAGACGTCTTGCACACAGATAGGATGACGAAAACAAGAGAAAGGACTGAGGTCACTGTGTAAACTTTGTAATGAACATTACTTGCCAAATGAAAGGCAGTTGAAAGTTCGTGCTTGTGTTTGTCCACCCTTCGGTTTTCTGTCGTCCTACTTGCATGCAAGCCGTTCGCAGTTATGGAAGTGCTGCCAACCTGCCCAAGCCTCCAAATCTTTCTGATGCATGTTTGTACATGCATCAGAAAGATTTCTTTATGATTCTGCTGTTTGTCATAACTTTTGGATATCAAGTGTTTTTGGAACCCTTGTACATTTGACTAACTGCCTCCTTGCGGCCTTACCAAAATCTTTGAAGTGCTCTAAGCACCTGGCTTCTCCAACTTGGGTTGTTTGTGCGGCATCCGCTTCACACTTTCTGGGAAGACCTTAGCACATGCATGGCTAAGCCATAGGAGTCGGGGTCAATTCCAGGCCACCGTCAACTGTGTATCACTGGGCTTGAAATGCAAGAAAGAGAGAAACGAGAAAAAAGGAAGGCAGGGAGATTAACCCGATGCTAGTATCTGGTATGCTACCCTGCACTGGGGTTGGGGAATAAGGGGTTAAAAGAGAGAGAGTTAAAAAATAAATAAAAGCAAAACACGGACACATACGCACACACAAAATCAGTCCACTCAAAGGCGTTCTGACAGGCCAGTAGTTCGCAAAAAGCGCAGTAGCGCTTGCACGGCCTTCTTTGATGATGAGTCATGACGATGGCACAGTATACTTTCTTCTGACAGTGGCTGGTCATCTAACTTGTTTAGTGTATTAGAAAGGTATTGTCTTACTAGGTTACATTCCGGGCAGTCACACAGGACGTGTCAAATTGTCTCTTCGTCTCCGCAGTGTGCACAGGCAGCGATGTCGGTTATCCCTATGCGGAACGCGTACCCACGGGTAAACGCGACTCCCAACCATAGTCTGCACAGAGCAGTGCTCATGCACCTAGCATGTGCATGTTAAAAAGCCCCTGGCAGTCTAAGTTGACAAGCAGTGTCCCCTACAACGTTGGGTCTTATAATTGTATATTGGTCTTGGTTTGTAAAAACGCCAAAATTTACTTTTCTTAATCTCTCACATCTGCACCCCTTCTTTCTTTCTTTCATTTAATAGATTGTGGGGCTCACAATAGAACTTGTGCAGACTTTTTTTCCATTTCAGCTCCTGATAGTTCTACTGAAGTGGGCATTTCGTAGATTATTTATTTATTCATTTATTTATTTACCTATTTATGTACTCGTTGCGGGGTAACAGTAGCTGATGGAACAGAGTGACCCCTTTATTAGAGACACTGATATAAAAACCATTGGGTATAAGAAACACCAGAGTATCTGCACTGAAATGGGTTGATCAGATAATTGGGACATAGCACCATGCTAATGACAGAGGTTTCTTGTAAGAGACAAGAACTGCTCGCCAGTGCACATAAAGAGGTTCAATTGTATATAGTTATATTAAATAAAACAAAGAAAGTGTTGTCAGCCAAACAACAAATGAAACAATGTTGTCGTTTAATCAGTATCAGCAACACACACATATAACATTGGAAAAGAAAATTAAAATGCAGTTAGACTAACAGAAAAATGAAAATAACATCACATAATAAAGGCAGTGGTTGAAGGTAATTGGTTCCTTTCTGTGATTGTTTACTCAGATAAAAGCAATGTCATTGAGGCATTCTCTCCTTGGGGTGCTTTTCACTCTAGGTGCTGACAATAATCGGGGCCATCTCGGAGAGCCATGGAGAGGCGCTGATTCGGTCGGCGTTCCAGTGCTTACAGCTGGTCGTGGCCGACTTTCTGCCGGTCATGCCGCGGGCCTGCCTCCAACTCTGCGTCGACACGGCCGCACGCTTCGGCTCGCAGAACCAGGAGCTGAACGTCTCGCTTACTGCTGTCGGACTCCTGGTCAGTCAACGGCGAGCTTTTGGGTGCATTTCATTGCTGGCCATTTGGGTCGTGCGAATGTTCAAAAATTTCGAATATCAGTTCGACTACACTTGAACCTCATTATAACAGACAAAAATGCATCTTGCGTGAAGATAAGTTCCTTATATTTTAAAATTCGTTATAAAGGTTTATTCCTAACATTATATCTATTGCAAGACTATTCTTCATCTACTTTGTTATATTCGATAGATCGTTATATCTGGGTGCTATATTGAGGTCTGAGTGTAGTGTTCTATCCGATTTCACGTTTGAATTAAATAGTCAATATTTGCAAATAAGAATACCTTTTAAATAGTTTAGAGAGTGTCAGCTCTACACAAATAAACAGGAACTTGGTGGAAGGTAATTGAAAGTTTCATCTGAGCAGTTGCACTGGAGGCATGAAGTGCAAGAGCTTTTGCAGTGCAGCAGGTTATGTTGCTTGGGGAGCCAGACTTGGCCAGCTTTATGGCTATACAACAGTCATTCGCACTCTCTATAGAATTCTGAACTCATGAAGAGTCTGCCTATCTGATCCCGATGTTTAATGTGGGCTTTTAATGCCAAAAATGTGAATGCTGGGGTAAAAAATGTGAGTGATTGTGAATGCTGGGGTCAAAAAATGTGAGTGGCTGTGGATCAAGTTCAATAATGCCGACATATGTAAAGAGCCCCAGGCGGTCTAACTCAATTTGACATCCTTCTCTACAATGTACCTCATTATCGTATTGCGGTTTTGGCACATAAAAACCCCCAAGGCTCAGTATTACTTTGAGTCGACCTCTACCAGCTTCTGCTAAGTGCTGGCTTCTGCTGAAGGACTTTTGCTGCTTTGCACCCTTTTTCTTCTCGCTCGCAGTGGCACATGGCGGACTACTTGTACCAAAATGCGGAGAAGCTGAAGCAGGAAGAAGGCGACTGGGATGCCCTCTGGATGTGCCTCTTCCAGCGGCTGGGCGAGCTCTGCGTCGATCCGCGCTCCGCCGTGCGCAAGAGCGCAGGGCAGACCCTGTTCTCGACCATCAACGCGCACGGCTCGGTGCTTAGACAGGAGACCTGGCAGGCTGTGCTTTGGCAGGTGCGTACTCGGTTCGAAGAACGCATTTTTTATCTCTCGAAGCTGTAGTACAGAATACGGGTTGAAAGCCATGCTAGAACAAGCGGTATAGAGCCTTAACGTACCCTTGCCCCTAATCTGTACTTGCCGAACCTTACCTGGTATAACCTAACCAACTGTTTCTAGCTAACTGTAATTCACTTCACTTCCAGCTGATAGTAGCTCAGCGGCTGTGCCATAGGACAATATCTGGGATTTGAGTTTATTTATTCATTGAAAATAAATGACTTCTAGCTGTGGTGACTATATTCCTGTGGATGCAAAGTCTTTAGAGACTTGTGTTAACTCTGGGGGAATGTTAAGGGAGACTAAAAAGAAAACATTTTTTTTTATTAGTAAATCACTCTTTTGCAGCACTAATGATGCGAAGCTTAGCACGAGGAGATGTTTGGTAAGCGAGAAAACGCACCAAAAGGAAATGCTGGCGGCGACGATGCCTCGAAGTTCTCACACCAATCGCCGCAACTTCATAGATATTCATGATATCTGCTTGCTCTTATATTGTTACTAATTGGTTAAAATTATGTAAATTGCCCTCTGAGGAAGCCAAGTACTTAACATACCAAATTTCAAGAAATTTTGTTGGGCCAGTGTTGCCAAAATACGAAAAATGCACTTTCAAAGTCCTAACGTCACATGCAGAGTGGAGATATTGGTGTGAAACTTGTGGAAAAACGAGACCGTGACCTTAATGTTATCCTTTATTATTAAAGCAGCGATAATTGAATTAACCACATTGGAGTTTTTATTGTAAAATTTATCAATCTAAACAGACTAATTTCTTTTCCTCAGTACCTCTTGAACATCAGGTGGTTGATATCAATTAGAGCGTGCTGTACTATGTTGGAAAGAAATGGTTTGTTTGTCTTAGTGAGTTTTTTTTGCTATGCAGTCAACGTCCGCACATATTGTCCTGCTCTCGTGCAGGTGCTGTTCCCTTGCTGGACCGAGTCCGGACGCTATCGGGGTCGGCCTCGACGGAGAAGGTCAACGACATGGGTGGGAACATTCTGATCCACCACTCGCGCAACACCGCTCAGAAGCAGTGGGCTGAGACGCAGGTGAGGGTCGAGGCACGCTTGACTCGTGTATGAGCTCCATCTCGTAACACACTGCCAGGTTTGATGTAAGACAATGGGAATGATGCATGAACTACTGTGATTTCTCGTTATAACAAAATCGCTTTGCTCGAAATATTGCTTTAATTGAAATTTCTAATGGTCCCGACCTGGACACATGCATATTGAGCTGAATTACTGAACGCGCTTGAAGAGCCTAAAATGAAGTGGCAAGCGGAAAAAGCTTAGAAAGAAGTGGCGGCCCTTTTGCGCGTGCAGTGTCCATTTGATGCTGCCAACTAACTGCTCTCATTAAAGCACAGAACAGGCCACAAATGTCCCATGACCACCTAGTAACGGGTACCAAGTGAGTGCAAAGTGCTCCCTGCCGTTTAGTGTGCGGTGAATGGGAACTGTCAGATGGCATTTGCAGAGGCCTTGTATCTGTTTTAAAAAAATCTATTATGCAGGTTAGTTTGGTCAGGAAAAATGTGCCACCTTTTTTGTTACAGGTGTGATATATAATATTTGAATTTAATTTGAAAGTATTCTCTTTGAACTCGCTTCGAACCTAACATTCACTATTCGCACAAGCTTACACTTTTCGTGCTCAAACGCACCACCTGACATTGAAAAAATAGCTCGTATGCATACCGTATTTACTCGATTCTACCGCGCCCTCGATTGTAACGCGCACCCGATTTCCACCGCGAAAAAAAAAAAACAACGTAAGACATCGATTGCAAGGCGCACCCATTTTTCTCGCTGGCCCGCGCGATCACACCACTCGAAAAAACGACCGCTTTCGTGAGCGTCTGCCATTTAAATATGAGGTACGGGCGAAGCTTGTGCTCATCTGACATGTAACAGAGCATTGCCGTCACTGTAGTTTTACCGTGGACCGATGTCAGCACATGAACTTGCTTCGCTCCCTTCTTCTCGACGGTTGTGGTGCCAGGCATGTCGAAGTAAAGAGGTGTCTGATCGGCATTCCCGATTTGCCCAAGCAGGTAGAAGTTTAGGACGAACCTCTGAAAACTGTGAAGCTTTTCATCGTATTCCTCCGCAAAACTTTTCGCATATGCATGTTCCCCTTCGGACGGAAAAGCCTTTCCTCTTCATAAAGTTAGTTAGCCAGCACCTGCTCGCTTTAAACTGGCTCCGCATTAGACCTTTTTCTAAGACTAATTGCATAGCCCGCACTTGGAGCAGTTCTGTCGTCACGGGCCGCTGTGTCGCTCGCTGCTCAAGCACATGCTCGCCGAGCAGCTCTTTAATTTGCGGAAACCGACCCTGCTGTGGTCCACTAAAGCCTTTGCGTGAAGCTTTGCTGTCGACAATCTTCTGCTTTTGTTTCCGCCGGTCTTGCACGCACGTTTCGGGAACTCCGAACGACCGCGATGCGGCCCTATTTCCGTCCGTTTCTGCACACGCAATGACTTTTCTTTTAAAAGCGGCATCGTGGTGCACTCGAGTTTTTGGAGTCGGCCGTTCCACGCCGTCGATGCTAATGCACTACTAGATGACGAACTCCTCAGCACACGTACGAAGTGCCGCACATGGGAAACACATAGGCAGAAATGACCGACGCGCCATGCCGACGCACATAGGGGGCGGCCATTTTGGATTTGCCGATGGCAATAGATTGACCGTAATCTTTTTGTTCGTACTCGATTCTAACGCGCATGCGATTTACGAACTCGCTTAACCGGAAAAAAGGTGCGCGTTAGATTCGAGTAATTACGGTACTAGGGTCATTAAATGTTGTTCCTAGATATTCTTCAATGGCGTAGATGTGATGGTGCACATACACTGATGCTCAAACGATAGTAGTATTAGCAAACGGGGTGAAAAAAACACCACTTGTTTTGCAGACTTCATGGCTGCACACCTTTGGGAATATCTCAACGTGGTCTTGCAACGTGACACTTTGTGGTCATGCAACGTGAAACACTTAGTGATCATGCAATGCACATGTCGCCTGCCGCATTCAGTAAATTTGGTGCATGCTTTTGAATCCGTGCGGCAGGCCTTATGATTGTGTAATTCAAAATGCTTTTTCTGCAGCTGAATAAAGTTCTGCTTTTCTGAATACTTCATATTCAAAGAGAAGCGGCGCACAAAAAAGACGGAGACAAAGAAGAGAACCACACAGCAGCGCTGTGTGTGGTTCTCTTCTTTGTCTCCGTCTTTTTTGTGCGCCGCTTCTCTTTGAATATGAATACGCACCAACTCGCCCAACTTTCTATTCTGTTTTCTGAATACGTTGTGTTTTGACTTCCTCGTAATTGTGGTCCAAAAATTCAAAAATATTTGAGACTGCATGTTTTTCTTCGTTTCGCCCTAGGTGTTGACGCTGTCGGGCGTTGCAAGAGTGTTCCACGTCAAGCGCGAAGTGCTCCACACGCTGGGTGACTTCCCGCGTGCCTGGGCGCTCCTCCTTGAGTTCATTGAGAACTCGGCCCTGAGCAAGAACAATGAGGTGAGCATGAACATTTTGCAGAACAGGCTCGCATGTTTCGGTTTAATGGAACCAGCTAAAGCAATGTTTTGTGTTCAATGCACTGTTGCGCCTCTTATTCAATGTCCTTTCATTTGTTGTACTGTCAGCTGCAAAACTTGCGGGATCTGCAGTGTGTGGCGGAGCAACGAAAAACTGCATCACTGCATCACCTACTGTTACCTGGCGAGTTTTGAAGCTATCGGCCACGGCCTGCGTGATGCCTGCGTGATAAGATCTGGCAATGGTGCATTGTCTAAACGTGCCATTTCTGATTGCTGAGGCCGATACTCTCAACACTCAGCCGTGTTACTGACTGCAGCGATCCAGTTTTTCGTTGCTGTGCCACGCGCTGCAGATCCCGCAAACTTTTGTAGTCGAAAGTACCTGGCTGAAGCTCAAGTGTTGTGATAGTTAGTACTAATGTTGAAGGAAAAGTTGAAGTAAGTTGCCGTACTTAATTAGCCGGAATAAAGTTATCTCTTGCATAGTAATGCCAACACAAATTCGTAGCAATTCTCCTGACTTTTGCTTCTTTTATATGCAGCAACTTGTCTACCAAGATACAACATTTAATTCAGTTCCTAGCTTAGATAAAGGAGTCATAGATGACTGAATGCAGGCATCATGCTTGGTAAATAAATTTTATTTCTAGATTAGATTCTGTTTATAGACCTCGAAGCACTACATCACTGCAAAGCTTCTTTCCGTGTGACAGTATTATCATTACTGCTTACTGTGAATATCAGCATTAATGTGTGCTATGAATGTTGTGGTTTAGGCTGGAACTTCTGATAAGAATACTTTAGTTGAAGAAATGTTTGATATTATGCATTTATTATTCATCTAAAAAAGCAACTGCTATGAATATGTTATGAGTCCGTGTGGATGTAAACGCAACAGGATGTAATTTCAAACAAAGTCAATTTGTAGTACCCATGCAAAAAAGTAAATATTGCATATGTTTCAACATGGTCTTGTAGAAAACTTTTAGCAGTACCACATGCATAAAAAACACAATGGTACAACAGCAGCAACAAAAGCAACAACAAAGGCGACATGAGTGCAATTTGAGGGTTGATAATTCAAAAATTTGCGCTAGAAATGTCTTTGATGCATTGTTGTTACACGTATGTCTCGCATACGTTTTTGTATGTGGAAGTTCATTTTGAACCAAGTTTATGCACATTGTCATTTTATCTCCCAGGTGTCGCTTTCAGCGCTGAAGAGCTTTCAGGAAATATTGCATTTGAGTCGTCCAACCGACGGAGCCGGGAATGGTGGCGCCCTCCTGGGGAGATCTGCTGACCCACAGGGAGAAGCGGCCCTCTGGTGTGCAGCCTGGAAGGTACGGATTGACAGTTCAGCAGGGGCATGTTGCATTTCCTAAAACTGGGGTATCAAAGGAGCCATGAAAAGTTCGCTAGCGACAATGCTGAACCGTCGGCAACCACACGCACTAACTAGGTGACATCAATCTAAGTAGAGTAGATATGCATAAGTGCTTTGCCTCGATAAGTGTTGACGTAGATCTACTCTGCTTAGGCTGACGTCACTTAATTTGTGTCATGTGGCTGCCAGTTGTTCTGCATCGTCTCTTTAGGAGTGATCTTTTCACGACACATTTAATTAGAATATCAATAATAGTCTAATCATCTCTAGAGTTCTGCATGCCAAAACCTTGAAACAGAGACTTACAATTCCTTCTTTTGTTCTGAACAACTGCAGGTTTGGTACAACATTGGCATTGAGAGCACCAGGCCTCCCCCGGACATCGCCGTTGACGACGCCCGCTTCTCCAACAGCCTGTCTTTGCTGTACATACCGTCCCAAGCATTCCTCACCGCACTCGTTCAGATCTTCCCGCACCTGTTCCAGCACATCAAAAATAGGCGAGTCATTTGAGTTGGTCATTGCTCAAGCACTAAATAGGCTTGAGGACACAGGAAAGCTATAGTGACATTTCTTCGTTTGTTCGTGAGATGCTTACTTATTAGGGGAGAAAATCCTAGCTGGGAACTGAATCTCTGATGACATATCTTGGGACTCGGAAAACGCGTTGTTACATCACGGTCGAGCTTTGTGGATTTTACATGAATTCGGGACGCCGTAAAGCTCATAAGCAGTGTTATTAATAAGCATGGATATCCTAGTAAAGAATTTTCAGGTGTAACAAGATAATTGTAAATTATCATTAGTCTTGTTTTACTTCAGTGAGAATTTTCCCGCTTTAGCATAACTTTAAACACGGTTCGAGACACCATTTGTCATGGCTAAGCAAGTACTTGTGGGTTTGCAACTGTGGAACGGTCCTCGTAAACAACTTAAAAGTGGCAAAAAGTGAATGCATCTTTGTGGTTTGGCTAACGGCTTGACTAATAGCTGCTTTTAAACCTTTTCCGGTGTCCCCGAATTGACTTTTGCAATGCCGGAATGCTTGGCCGTGAGTTGGAGAACGCTTGGCCATGATTTGGAATCAGTTGTCATGCAATGACCTGGTGATGTCACTGTGGTCAGCTTAGACTGACACTAGATGTTTTTTTTTTTTTTTTTTTTTTCATGTCTTTGGGTTACCAGATTCACGGTCTCCGACTTCCAAAAGTTTGCCGCCGTTGTCCAAAACGCTGTCGCTGCACCCGTTCACGGCGATGCCTCGCCCTTCATTTTGCCTACCCTGGCCGAAGTGGTCCTCACGACATTGCAGGAGTCTATTCTCAATGCCATGGACACCCTGCACAAGGTGAGCGTGGCGACTCTCGTCTTCGTTAACATTGATGGCGTTAAAGATCTTGTTTCTCGAGAAATTCCAATACACTGAACGCCTCATTATAACAAAGCTGAATCTTACACGAAAATAAGTTCGTTATATCCGAAAATTCGTTATAAAGGGATAATGCCTAACACTACTATCTTCTGCAAGGCTATCTTTCATTTATTCTGTTACAACTGATACTTCCTTATATGCGGGTTTGTTATATCGAGGTTTGAGTTATCAGCATCAGCATCGTTAGTTGTGAGTGAAAAACTGGCACTTGCCCGTGAACGAAAATTGGCGATGTATCCAAATGAAAAAAATGATGAAAATATTTAATGGCAACGGGACTCCAACTCAGAACTTGTGCATGGTCAGCAGGTTCTCTACCAAAGAGGCACTGCTCGTGCTTGAAACTGCTTCCCGAAAAAAATTCTATATGAATGTCGCCCTATGCTCTGCAAGCATGGAATGTTGCGTCGCAGAAACGTAGGATAGTGCCAGGGGTCAATACTTGTTCCACTGCACATCAAGCGAGAGGTTTTGAAGGACCACCCCTTACAAAGCACTCTGACACATTCAACCCGTATATGCCCAAACTTGAGAAAATTAAGAGAACTAATTTATTCCCCAAAACGATTGCTTCTACGACCTCAGAAAACAGAATAAGGCTTTTATCTAAAAAAAAAAAAAAAAAAAACTCTTTCAAACAATGATTTGGAGCCGTCCTGTATGTAGGACACCTATGTTTTGACACAGCATGAACAAAAACATTAGCGCCTATCACTGTCATACGAAAGTTACTACACACCCAATAACCGGCGAACGATCGACAAAAATATCAGCATCATCGAGAACAGTTTGACTCTATATTGACGCGTGTCTACATGTGGACGAAAACAATGATGGGGGATTTAGTGGACACGAGGTAGTGGGCCTCTAGCTTCTCTTGAGACCGAAGAAGACGATCTTGTGGCTCAGCTCTTGAAAACACGCTGCTTTCGTTGCCTCAAGGTGTACCTGTGTTTTATTCGCGTTGTACCGCGACACTGGTGGAGGAGCTGGGCCGCAACCCTGTCTGATGCTCCACACGCCCGCTGGGAGCCGTTCATCAAGTCCAGAATCATTGTCACCGGTAGCAACTCTGGTGCATCGCTCCAGTCGACGGTTGCGAGGCCTCGCGCCAGAGCTCACTCACTCGCCGGAACCTCTTAGGCACCGTACACCTCAACCAATGACCAACGCAAGCCCACAACAGGTGCCCCAAGGCAGCTTTCCGACCCTCCCATCTCAGGTGACCATCTTTCAACCCCTCGTTTCCGATCGCTTTAGTGGTGGTGCCCATGAAGACGTCCATGACTGGCTTGAACTCTACGAGCGTGTTGCCAAGGTCAATCAGTGGTCGGAACAGGAAAAGCTTTCTCGCGTCTATTTCTACCTTGACGATGGTGCTCGTACTTGGTATGAAAATAGAGAAGGCAATTTGTCAGCTTGGCCTGACTTTCGACAGAAGTTCGTCGATACCTTCGCCAATGTCAATAGAAGGGACCGTGCGCAGCAGTTATTGGAGATACGGGTTCAAAAACCCAACGAAACCGTTGCAATGTTTGCCGAGGACATGACCCGTCTCTTTCATCGAGCTAACCCGCACATGACGGAAGATAAAAAGTTGAGTTACCTCATGCGCGTTGTCAAGGAACAGCTTTTCGCTGGGCTACTGCGCAACCCCCCAAGTACCGTGGTTGACTTCATTAAGGAAGCTACGGCTATTGAGCGGGCCCTTCATCAACGCTGCAGGCAACATGACCGCATGTCCTGCAATGTCCCAATCAACGCTAACGCCATGACGTCTGAGAATCAGACCTCCTTACGAGAGTTGATTAGAGAGATAGTTCGCGAAGAACTGCAGAGGTTACGGACTCCGGTTGCTGAAAATCTCATCGCGTCGATCGCTGAAGTCGTACGCGACGAAATTCACCAAGCATTGTCTACGACTGTTCCTGATACTCAGCAGTGTCCTATGAGCTACGCCGCCGCTCTTCGACGTCCACCACCCGCTATGCCGACGCAGTACCACCAGGTGCCCATGGTCCCTTGGTCTCAGCCGCAAGAGCAGACACTGCATCAACCACCCACGCTACGGTCATACAACCAGCCGTCCACAGCCACCCCATGGGCAGCGACGCCAGGGGAGATGCTCAGACGTCCACCGACCCGGAAAACCGATGCATGGCGCACAGTGGACAGACGTCCACTATGCTTTCACTGCGGAGGTGCAGGCAATATTGCCCGTCATTGCTGGCATCGAGGCGATTCATTCCGTCCTCATCGACCTTAATTTGACGGTCGACGTGCCAACGACGAATACACACCACGCCGTGATGACACCCCTTTCTATGGAGCCCGTTCTCACTTAGAGGATGGCTGTACCACTGCAGAGGAGGCAATGCTTACTCACCCTCCTAGTCTGAGACGTCAATCCCGCTCTACGTCCCCCGCGCGTTCGCCTTTGTCGCACATACGCGGACCTTAACACAAGAAGGTCACCTAGCCCGCGACGGGGAAACTGAGAGCGGCGACCTTCGGGGGCAAGATTGCAGGCCATAAAGATGACGACAAGAAGCCCCCACAGCATGACGTCATACAGCCGATAAGCCGTGAAAACGATGAAATTGTGACTGCTGACCTTAGTGTTCTTCTTAACGGCCAGAAAGTTACAGCTTTAGTCGACACTGGTGCCGACTTCTTCATTATCAGTCAGGACCTCGCCGACAGCCTCAGAAAAGTGAAGACGCCGTGGACGGGCCCTCACATTAGAACAACAGCGGGCCAGTTACTGATGCCCTCTGGAAGATGTACTGCAAGAGTTGACAGAGGTTCTCCTTTAACTGCGTCGCTCGTCGTTATCGCCGCATGCTGCAGAGATGTAATTCTTAGCATGGATTTTTTACGAGAATATGGCGCCGTCATCAACATACCAGAGAGCTTGATTACGTTTTGCAACAGTTCGGGCTTACCCAATTCTCCAGAGGTGCGACCAAACCAACTGCGTATTACTGATGACGACGTGGTTCTCCCTCCTAGGTCATGCACGCTTGTTTCGGTGGCCGCCGCTGCTCAGTTTGACGCCGAAGGAGTTGCAGACCAAATAAGCTCGCTGCTCTTCACCCACGGTATTTCCGTCGCACGAGGTATTGTCAGAGTTGCTGCTGGACGCACGGACTTGCTGCTGACCAATTTACGTGCTGAGCGCCGGCACTTTCCTAAAGGCACAGGCTGTCGCTTACTTCGACGATGTCGTAGACGCCGAAGGCTGCTTGGCGGTAGTCGATGAGTCGCTAAATCTTGATTCAGCGCCTGTTCTGGACGTTAGCACTACTTTGCCGAAAGACGGACCGACGCAGACTCCTTGAGCTACTGGCCAAATTTCAAGACTGCTTTTCGACAACATCAAAAGTTGGCCGCACGCCTCTAACCAGGCATCGAATAATTACCGACGAAACGGCGAAACCTATTCACCAAAACCCTTATCGCGTGGCTCCAAAAGAATGTGAAGCGATACAACAACAGGTAGACAGAATGCTTGAAGATGACGTCATTCAGCATTCACAGAGCTCTGGGCGGCACCTGTAGTCCTCGTTAAGAAAAGGGACGGCAGCCTGGGCTTCTGTGTGGATTACCGCAAGCTAAATCAGGTGACCAAGAAAGACGTATATCCACTACCGCGTATAGACGACTCTCTCGACAGACTTCGACATGCTCGATACTTCTCTTCAATGTATTTGCGGAGTGGATATTAGCAAATCGAGGTGGACCCGAGAGACCGCGAGAAGACCGCTTTTGTAACACCAGATGGGTTGTATGAATTTAAGATCTTGCCATTCGGTTTGTGCTCAGCGCCTGCTACCTTTCAAAGACTCATGGATACTGTGCTTTCTGGGTTAAAGTGGAAAACATGCGTAGTATATCTGGACGACGTCATAGTGTTCTCCGCAACGTTTGACGAGCACCTTGAGAGACCTGAGGTGGTCTTACGAGCCATACAGTCCGCGGGCCTGACGTTGGAGCCTGAGAAGTGCCACTTTTGCTACGAAGAGCTGCGATTTCTTGGTCATGTCATCAGTTATGCAGGTGTTCGTCCCGATCCTGAAAAAATCGCAGCCGTAGAACAATTCCCTTTGCCGACCGATAAAAAGGCTGTCAGACGCTTTCTCGGCCTCTGTGCATATTATCGGCGATTTATCGCAGACTTCGCACGCATAGCATCACCGTTAACTCGCCTCACGAGAGAAGACGTCACCCTTGAGTGGAATAACGAAGAGGAAGCTGCTTTTAACGATCTTCGCCAGCGACTACAAACACCTCCAGTCCTTGCCCACTTCGACGAGAGAGCCCCTACGATGCTTCACACCGATGCTAGCAATGCTGGTCTGGGAGCTGTGCTTGTGCAGCAGCAAGAAGGCACAGAAAGGGTAATCGCTTACGCAAGCAGAACGTTAACACGCGCTGAGGCTAATTACTCCACGACTGAGAAGGAATGTCTCGCCGTGGTATGGGCGGTTACAAAATTTTATCCGTATTTATATGGTCGCCCCGTCAAAGTAATTAGCGATCACCACTCACTGTGTTGGTTAACAAATCTTAAAGACCCTATGGGCCGATTAGCGCGTCGGAGTCTCAGGCTGCAGGAATTCGATATGGCAGTCGTACATAAGTCAGGGAAGCGGCATATCGACGCCGACTGTTTGTCCCATTCATACATTGAGTCGGCGACCCTACCCTCGACACGACCACCATTGCGCAGCAACAACGTGATGACGCTGAGTTGCTTGGCTTAATTACCTACTTGGATGGCAGTTCTCGGAAGGCGCCAAGAGTTTTCGCAAGAGTGTTGTCATCGTTTTGTTTACGGGGCGGAGTACTCTACAAAAAAAACTTTTCGTCGACGGGATCTGCCTATCTGCTCGTCATCCCAGCAGCCCTTTGCACCGAAGTACTGAAAGCATGCCACAACGAGGTTACCTCTGGCCACTTGGGTTACACAAGAACGTTAGCTAGGGTACAGCAAAGGTATTACTGGCCAAGACTAACCACAGCCGTGAAGAACCACATTCGTACCTATCTCGACTGCCAGCGACGCAAGTCACCACCAACTAAACCAGCTGGCCTCCTGCAACCCGTACAGGTCACAATGACTCCATTCTACCAGATTGGCATGGACATTTTGGGCCCACTCTCTACTTCTACTGCAGGCAACCGATGGGTTATCGTCGCGACGGATTATCTGACCCGTTATGCCGAGACAAAGGCTAGTCCAGAGAGGTACAGCAGTGGAGGTGGCTAAATTTTTCATTGAGAATATTGTACTGGGCATGGTGCACCAACCGTCGTAATCACAGACAGAGGTACCGCATTTATGGCAGCTCTTTTGGACCATGTCTTGATGCTGAGTGGAACAAAGCATCGTAAGACCACCGCCTACCACCCGCAAACGAACGGGCTGACAGAGCGTCTAAACAAAACCATTGAAGACATGCTTTCAATGTATGTAGACGTTGAACACAAAAATTGGGATCAAATCTTGCCATACATAACGTTCGCATACAACACGGCCAAGCAAGAAACGACCCGTATGACACCGTTCAGCCTCGTTTATGGACGGGAAGTACGAACCATGTTAGATGTAATGTTACCGCACGAAGGTGACGACATCGTCCCGGAGGCCGACACGTTTACCGAACGCGCGGAAGAAGCTAGGCAACTTGCACGTTTACGCATCAGCCAGCAGCAAGAGTACGATGCAGGCCGTTACAATGCTCACCGCAGAACAGTCTACCAAACTGGCAACAAAGTATGGGTTTGGACGCCGGTACGGAAATGAGGACTTTCCGAAAAGCTCTTAAGATACTTTGGACCGTATCTAGTGCTGCGAAGACTGAGTGACGTCACTTACGAAGTTGTTCCCGACAGTTCGCATAGTACAAGGCGTCACCAGCATCATTCTGAACTCGTTCACGTAGTCTGCATGAAGCCTTACGTCAGCGAGTGATGTGAGACTTTTCTTGTGAAAAAAACAAAAAAACAAAACTTCATTACAGACTTTGCATCGGGGCGATGCTCTTTGAGAGGGAGGCAAATGACGCGTGTCTACATGTGGACAAAAACAATGATGGGGGGATTTAGTGGACACGAGGTAGTGGGCCTCTAGCTTCTTTCGAGACCGAAGAAGACGATCTTGTGGCTCAGCTGTTGAAAACACGCTGCTTTCATTGCCTCAAGGTGTACTTGTGCTTTATTCGCGTTGTCCGGCGACAATATTACTTATATATATATTTTTTCATGATATGGCGCTCAGCTACATGCACGTGAAATAGCCATATCGTGACTGCAAGCACGTGGCTATTTGTAGCCCAGCGATCACCTAGACTTGCATGTGACGAGGACAGGGCACATTATAAACACACCTTAGGTGGCGCTACCTTTTTTTTTTTTTACAGAAAAAACATTCGAGTTACACTGAAAAGTTTCGCCGTACTACATGTAGGACACTGGGCATATATAGATTAATCATCATCAGCAGCAAGAAACAGCTGCGTGAGTGGGCACGTTGCCTTACGGATGCATAGATGCTACTTCGTTAATTCCCAAAAGGAATAATTATATCGTAGTGGGCACTTGAACTGTACTTGCAGTAGGCATTCTAAGATAGTTTTAAACAGCCCACGTAACTCGCGCATTCTTTTCCTTGCTGGCACAGATAACATGTCCACTTGAAAGTGAAGCTAGGTTACAGATTGTTAAGATGATGCAAGCAGGGTCCGATCGCACTACTGCATTCTACTCTTGAGGCGATTTTCAAGCAACCTCTAATTTTCTCGTCTGTTTTGCCTTCTTTACACAGTTGTGGTTTGTTTCTTCCACTTCAGTGAGATGGTATAACATTGTTTGTAATTGTTTGTATGTATAGAATGTACAGAATACTGTAAAAAACCCGAATATAGGTCGAATTAAAAAAAATAAACGTGCAGAAAAATCTACTCTCATCTTATATAGTACCAATCATTGGCAGAAAAAAATGTCGAAGTCCCTCAACATTGGGCAGCTGTAGTCAAAAGCCTCCATTGCCATCGTGAGCATTAGCAGCTGAGTCGTTGGGCAAGGCGTGCAGTACAGTGTACTAGCAACACCATTTTGCTTCGGTTATCTTTGTCAGTCTGCTGTCTTTTTTTTTTCTTTTTCCTTGGCTTTAAGTTTTTATTTCTTGGCTGAAATATTTGGGATCCACATGTAGTTTGAGGCCGAAATTTCGGATCATAATAATTAGAGAAAAAAAGTACACAAGGCTATATGCAGCTAAGGTTAAAGCTTGGAAGAGACAGGCAGCGCTCTGTCCTGTCTCTTCCTTTCTTCCTGCCGTTGTTTGCGCTGTGTTTTTAATCAGCTATATGCAGGTTATTACGGTAAAGTTTGCTAGTACGTATACCAGGACTTGTAAAGAAAAAGTGATAAGAAGATTCAAAAGGGTTGGGGGTGAGGGGGAGCCTGATAAGAACTAATGGCATCTTTGACTAGTCGAATAGGGGCTCACTGATGTGCCACTTTGTCCAGTCATCATAGCTCCTGCGTACCCTAGGGCACTCCAATGTAATTTGTTAATGCTATAAATGCCTAGACAAAGCAACCTCTCCATGGATAGATATATTTTTTCTGTGCTCTGTCTCGTAAACTTTTTCTTTTAATTTTTTTATCTCACCGAATGCTTTTGAACTTGGATGGTAAAGATAATCGAGTGCTGTTCCCACAATGTCTCTTAAGGAATGCATGTTGCTTTGATCATCGTTACCAGCCTAACTGCACCCACTGCAGGGCGAAGGCCTCTCCCATGTTTTGTCAGCGAGCCCAGTCCTGGGCTTTCTGTGCACAAACCGTTACCCACGCTAACTTTTATCTCATGTGCTCACCTAACTTTCTGCCTCTCCCTCACGTTCTTGGCTTCTATTGAAATCCGCTCTGTTACTGGGAAAGGCCACTGGTTATCTTGCTTACGCACTACTTGCCCTGCGCAAGCCCATGTGTTCGACTCAGTTTGGAATAGGATGTGATTATTGTACATTTATTCCCTGACACACTCTGCCCACGTCTTCTTCCTTAACTTACACCTATCATTTTCCTTTCAATGGCCTGCTGCTGCTGCCTGATGAAGCAGCAGGCCATCCGACACCACAATTACAGACGAACTTATTTCACTAAATTAGATACAGCTCAGATGGCCAAAAGACTTGTGATTGAAAAAAATAAGAGACGCTGGAACATTCTGACACGTCATTATGCCTTCCTTTACTCAATCGATCCCTCTCTGAGAAGACTCTCATTCGAAATTCTTCGCCATCTGGAAACGCTATACCACTGTTTACGTCTAAACAGTGCCTCTGTTAACAATCTACGGTTCCGCTTCGTTCAGTCAGCGAGTCCATATTGCAACAACTGTGGCTCCATCGAAACTGTGGAACATACTGTATATTGTTTGAGTGTAGAGTGTATGCTGATGAGCAGTGCGCTTTATGAACATTGCATGCATTCTATAACCGAGAGAACTTTCTCCCTTAACTGTGTATTGGGACCTGTAGCCTGCCCCACTTTACAGAGGCGTGCTATGAAACTTTTGTTTGCGTACCTTGGCACAGCAACGGTCAGCTAGACAAGCTGTAGCTGTAGCTTGACACCACGGAAAGACTATTAGCGCGTGTCCTCATTCAATGGTCAAAGAGGTGGCCTCTTCCTTTCTTTTCTTTTTATTCTATCATCTATATTTACATTTTGTCTTTTTTTCTCTCTCTCTCTTCCTCTTCGTACTTTCAATTCCTCGATCCCCTTCCCCATGCAGAGTAGTAAGTGAGCGAATTTTATATGCCGGCTAAATTCTCTGCATTTCAATAAAGTGTTCTCTCTTTCTCTTTCACGGCCTGCTGCATCGTTCCCCCTTATCTGAACCTTACCAGTACTTTCCTACGGAGCTGAAATGTGAAGTCTTACAAAGAGCTTAAAATGCTTTGATATATCAAACTGTTTGAATCACTTAAACCCACAGTTACCCACTGTGCCTGCAATTCTATCTATCAATTGATCAATCAATGTACCAGTTTATCGAATCTTTTTTTTTTTCAGGAAGCGCTTGCAGGTCCCGACAACCTGCAGGCCATGGTGCCGTCCATCTTCGGCCAGCTGTTGAGTTTCGCGTGCTACGCCTGCCAGGCGCCGGCGTACGGAAAGCTGCAGATGCGCTCCGGTGGTGTGGCCCCCAAGCACCTGGACTGGGTGACGCTCAGCTTTGTGCCATTCGGGGAGCGCGCCATGGAGATGGCCGTGTCCCTCTACGTGCAGACGGCGCAGCGACCGGTCGTCATGCAGGCCGACATTCTCCATGCCATCGTCAAGGTCAGAGCCGACCGTCCAATACCTCGTAGTCTAGTCATATTACGGGTACTTGTGCTTATAGAAAAAACTTGAGCATACAGTTGCTGCGGTCTACGTATCGATCGTTTCGGGATCACTGCCGGGTGACCTTCGGATACGATGGCCTAGCTCACATGGTAGCCTTTCCGAATTTGCCAACTTACCAGATTTACCCCGGACGTTCCGTAATTTCGAACAATCCCCATTGGTTATGCGGGCATGGCCGTAAATTCTTAGAAAGGAACAGTACTAGTACCACCCACGAAAAAACATAATAATAATTGGCAAGGACACCAGTTCTAAAATTTTCTGGTCGCGTGTGGAACATCTAAGCCACTTTTACCACAGTACACCGGCAAGGGGCTTTTAACTGTCATGGCACACAGCGGACCTTGCACTTTAATAAGCGCGAGTGCATGCACCGTATAGTTACGAGCACCTCTATGATCACTGATATCAAAAACTCTACTGACAATTATCCATCAATGACGTTGCTGCGACCTTGAGAAATACTAAATCAATATGTACACCAGAGTCCTTTCGCGGTTTACTTGTTCTACACGTCCAGCGAATTTTAAGGTCACCAGGTTGGCAAGTGCTGCCTTTGCTTTTCAGCCAGTGGCAAAGCTACAAGGCACAGCAGCTGTGTGTATAGATAGTGTGCGAAGCGCTAGGTGGTTTTGGTGCATGTTTCAAGTATTTTTTGAGGCACGGGAATAACTCGATGCAGTAGCATTCGTTCAGTTGATAGTCCAGCTGTGGAGATTGATGTTGCCAACATGCGGTGACGTCATCACATTTTCGTGGATGAATACAAGCCTTGCTGACCAGTGAGTTCTGCTCGAGGCAAGAGGTGTTGATGGGGTCGTGTTTACGAAGATTGCTTCACCAATATTGTTTAACGGTGAAACTGGTAAAGCCTAAGGTAATACGTACAACTGGAAAAGAACTGTTGTAAACGGTGTGTGTTCCCTAGAATTAGGATAAATCCAACTACTCAGGACTGGGCCACTAAAAAGTGAAGAATGCAGCAGCTAGTCCCAACAAATGACTGCAAAGCAACGCTGGCGAGCTGAAGACGCCGAGTACGTACAACAAGAGAACACTCAGGAAGGGGAAAGGCAATGGCGGTTTCGGAGAAGACCCCGAAGCAATGGAAGCCCCTTCGCAACGCCGACGTTTCTGTAGATCTCTGGAGCTTCGACAACTTTGGAGCCTGTGGAGCTCGACAAGCAAGTCATGTTTGTGATTGTGGTTTGACTTGAAGGCCTCTGCGCTGAGAATCAATGGAGAAAACAACTTTGCATCGTCTAGATAAAGCCTGGGAACAATCCTTGAAGCAACTAGATTAGACATGGGAATCATTCAGTTTCACTGTGCCAAGCCTCGCACGAATTTGCGCGAGCTTTGCCTATTTTTTTTCTTGGGCGATTTGGTACTTTGGGAACGACACGATTTGTAGCACAAAACCTGAAAAGACTGCGAAACACACAGGTCTTGAAAGAAAACTGACACTGCTCTCACAGCTGTTTTATTTGGCATGAAGCTTGTTTCGTATGCAAATCTCGCTCACACATTCTTAACATGGTGCAGCACAGAGCTAATGACAAATCATCGTGTTCGTGACAAGCTTGGCCAGCACCTTTTTTTTTTTCAGTGCCCGGGTGAACGCTTTTTTTAGGCGGTCGAGCGCGGGCTCCTCTTCCACTCGCCGCTGCCGCATGGTGGCGCTGCGCGAGTAGATTATGGGATGCGGGCGCTGAATGGCCGCACGTATTAGGAAGCTCGAAAATTCATATTTTCATGCGAGTTAATGTGCAGTCATGCTTCTTGACGGCTTCACGGACGCAGGGAAAATGAAAAGTAACACGAACATAGCGGCGCGCTGTTTTCACCAAGCTCTGTCAGGCCGTGCTACTGGTTCGATATATGCGTTCGAGTTCTATAGCATTCGCATTTTATTTTCTTTTTCAAGGTAATGAAACCCCATTATTTGCATGCCTCAGTATATAATACTGCTGTGTACCACTCTGCACATCTAATGAAAAAAAAAAAAACAGGTTCTCCTTTTTTTATATCTCATTAGTTACAAAAAAAAAAAAACCCCCCCGCTGGTCCTCTTATGGATTCACCTGAGACGACTTGTATGTTTGTTTGTAGCCTGGAATCAATGGCACATACCCACTTTGGGTGATTGGCCAAGAAAACATACATTATCCTATAGATGGTAACTGCACTATTGCTTACAAAAAAAAGAAAAAAGATGTAGAAAGACGACATTGTCAACAGAAAAAACAAACATTCAAAAGGGAGAAAAAAATAAAATAGTTACTGATCTAGTAACTATACCTTGATCTTGGGAGCCAACTAGGCAGCTGAGTGTGCCGAACCAGATTAATTTGGGATGTATGTCTCATATTTATTGACATTTCAAAAATTACTTCCCGACTCTTCTTTTTTGTTGTTTTTTTTTTGAGTACTTGTTGAAGGGGGCCCTATATTGAAATATGTTTGGTGTCTGGAATGAAGTTGCAAACCGCATCAAATACATCCCTGTGGCGATTTCCCAAAATGGAGACACCAAAATTTAGAACAGTTTCTGTGATTAAACTTAAACCTAGCTTTACAAACGGAATAGCTAAAAGTATTTTCCTAATTACTGCGTAGTCACGACATGAGACAAAATAATGTTCAATAGTTTCTGATTCTTCGGAGATAGGACAAAGAGGGGAGAGCGTCAGACCAGCTCAGTGTAAATAAAAATTTAATTAGGGAACACGGCACCGGTTTCTGGAGATAAAACTTCAAGTTTTTTCGAAGGACTCCACTAAGATTTTCATGGAAATTTGAGATGACTGAAAGGCAAAAACTATCTCCATTTTTTTTCCTATTCAATGCACTAAATGTTTCCTATTTCCTTCTGGGATATTTGTGCGCCCAACATGGTTTTCTTACTTCCTCAAGGATTGGAGACAAAGCTAGCTTTCTGCCCCTCAGCTGGTTATGCACTGCCCTCATGATCGACCCATTTCAACCAAGCGAACATGTTATATGATGCTGTCAAGTTATTTAACCTTCCGATACGTCACAAACATTTATAATATGGAAAGTCATATGATGACGTTTTCACGTAGTGATGATTTTTTGTATCACTTGTGTTCACGCCGCCAACGCGAGAAGACACCGGATGCTGGCGGTGATCAATTTTCGCTTTTGATGAGACATTTAAAGCTATCGCCTTTATACACTGTACGGCTGTAGCTCCGTGAAATTGCAGCTTCTGCTGGTGTTCAGGTTAGCGTGCTTGCAGTAATCAGCCAGAACAATTGTCTCCTTATAAATATTTGTACTACACTCTAATATGTAGCCATCATTTACAACCCAAGTATTTTATAGATTATGAGTAGTGGCGGCTGAATACTATTCATCACGTTTTGCACCATGGGGATTGAAATCGCTAAACAGGAGTGTGCTGCATCCAAACAGTCAACTAATAAGCCTATCAGTAGCAACGCTGCCTTGCGATTGCTGCCGTGTGCAACGCTACCATTACGCCCCGAAGCTGAATGGTAGCCCATGGGCACCACACAGCCATTTGGCCTCTACTCTGCTCGCTAATGCCAGAAAGAAGCAGAAAGAAACAGAGCTGAGCAGCTGAATGTTAAGGCTACAACAATCCGTCCATAAATACACAGACAAGCTCAAGCAACTGACCACAGGCCCCATTTTTCATGCCTGTCACCTTGGCTCAAGTTGAAAGTCGGCTGTAGACTTCAGACTTTAACAGCGCCTGTTCAAAACACAGGGAACAATCGCAGAAGTCGCGCCGCATATGGAGCTGTTCTTGTCTATTTTCAAAATGATTTCATTGTTTAAGCTCTCAAATGGTGAAATCACGTGCCATAGTTTCTCATTTTCTGACACTTGCATTTTCTTGGTGGCAACACGTCAGGCTTTGCGAAAGGAACGGATGATAACCTATATCCCTGGAAACAGTCTAGTGAAACTTTGTGCTATTTAGTGCATAAATTCCAGGCTTGCGCATAATGTGCTACGCCACTAAAGAATATCAAGCATCGGGGGACATTAGGCACCCAAGTTTTTGAAATTACCTCCTGGCAGAGGCTTCTCTCAAAAATCGACTTTCAGTTAGTCAAGAAAGCAACTCTCAGTCTAGCGAACGCCACGGTGACAAAGCGATCTTCCGCAGATTACTTGCATGAGCTGTCTGGTATCGGCCTAGCTAGCAGACGACGTGCGAGCACCTCGATCAAGTAGTCGCGAACGACTCAAGCCTTTGAAATGAGCTGAGTGCCCAGAATAACAAGTGCTTCACGATTCTCGTTTTAATGTTTCTATTACACCTTAAATGATGCGATCATAGCCGAAAACCGAGCCGTATAGTATCTTTGAATGCAGCAGCGGCACTCGTTCGCGCGAGAGACGACGTGGCGGCATTTCTACTCCAGTTCCGGCGCCTGGCGGTGAAATGCCGCACTAGCACCGACGGCCGCTTCCCATTGAAATCCGCTCCTTCGTTGGGCACTGAAAAAATAGAAGAGGCGCTGGCTTGGCAATCTCATTTCTGTGTGATATAGTGAAAGGGATGTCTGATAAACCTATTTTTCATCACCAACATGATTGTGACATGCCTCTGGAAGTTCCCGCGCCGTTTACGTCTCTGCTCTCACCCAGAATCCACACCTCAGAAAAACACGGCTCTCAGCAGCACAGTCCACAGGGCACAGAAATACATGTGCTTGCATCTTTTTTTTGCCGAGATGGTTATTGAGATCAGCCAGCATTCTAAGGGCACAAAAATGAAACATACTTCAATCACTTGGTACCCAGCAACTAAAACAAAGCGGCACAGAATAGTATAGCAGAAAGGCCAATTGGATTAAAATGATAATAAGACTAGGGTGAATTATGACGACAGGAGAACATGTTGTCTTTAAGCGGTGGCAATAAATTATCATAAC